GCACAGGCATGCGCAGCCGTGCACAGGCATGCGCAGCCGTGCACAGGCATGCGCAGCCGTGCGCGCGCACGCACTTTCAGGCAGGCGGAACAACCAGTGACAGCAGTCTGTGTGGAGACATACGCACTGTAGGTGACGATGGTGTGCATGTGTGTGGAGCCTCGCATGACCTTTCACCTCTGGCCCTCCCACCACTGTCTCTAAAGGGCTGGAACTGCAGGCAGCCATCACCACGCTCAGCACCCTGAATGCTGCTTTTCTGGTGGGAAAGATGCTTTGTAACCTAGCCACATGCTGCTATTTCCCTTTAGCCATCACAAATGCAAAGGAAACCCAACTGCGGGCCTCAGCTGTAGCCACCACACTTTAGGAGCTCCACAGCAGAAGTGGGGCTCACAACCATCTGTAACTTCGGCCTCAGGGGACCCGAAGGCACGAGGTCCCCACTGCTACAGACAAAATACTCACATATATAATAAAAGTCAACAAATTATATAACAAACAAACAAGTTGAAAATGGCTGGCCGCGGTGGTGCAGGCCTTCACGGGGAGATCAGCCTACACAGTGAGTGCCAGGACAGTCAGAGCTAGTTTAAAGACCCTGCCTCAAAAACAAACAAAACAAAACCAACAAAATAAAACATGCCAGGTACAGTGGTACGCACTTTTAATCCCAGCACTCGGGAGGCAGAGGCAGGCAGACCTCTGTGAGTTCGAGGCCAGCCTGGTCTACAGAGTGCGTACAGGACAGCCAGAGCTACACAGACACCCTGTCTCAAAACAAAACAAAAAGCCCAAAAAGGGCAGTGGGGGAAGCAGTTTCCTATTGTTTCTGGCTCCTTTTCCCTTTTTTTCTTTGTTTCTCTTGATGTAGTCCTGGAACTCGCTACGTAGTCCAGTCCAGCCTAGAACTCACAGAGATATGCCTGCTTCTGCCAAGGGGTAGATTGAAGTGAGTTTCAGTTTTACACCGGGCATGGTGGCACATGCCTTTAATCCTAGCACTTGTGAGGCAGAGGCAGGCAGATCTCTGAGTTCAAGGCCAGCCTGGTCTATAGAACAAGTTCTAGGACAGCCAGGGCTACACAGAAAAACCCTGACTCATAAAACCAAAAAACTACACGTTCACAGACAAACCCACACCCATGCACGTTCATGTGCAAGCCACGGCATCCACGTGGCTGTCAGAAGATAGCTGTGGACACAGTTCTCCCCCTGGGTCCTGGCAGTTGTCAGGCTTTGCAGCAGGCCCCTTTCACCCACTAAGCTACCTCACGGGCCTTGACCTCGTGATCCTCTTTCCCTTCGGCCTCCTGATCCCCAGGGCGCCTGGCTGGGGTGACAGGCAGGCTTGGCTGCGCCTGGCCCCTGACGTCGACGCTGTCTTTGGAAGCACGGCTGTGACCGTGGCACCCGGCCCTCATGGAGTCTGCCCTGCAGCTCATGCGTCCAGCTGTCCTGCTGGGATGCAGCTGCTCTCTCTCTCTTGGCCTCTGCCTTGGCAGCACGGTGGCATCCCTGGCTGCGGTGAGGACTCAGGGGAGCACTCACCGCTGATGACCTCCTGCCGCTTCACTTGGCTCTTGGGCAGGCTGAGCAGGGTGTCTGTGGGCACCAGCTCCCTCCAGCCGGGAGGTTCTTCTGGTTCCAGTTCTAGGCCCGACCGTCCTGGCTCCCCATCATCTCCAGGCTCCGGGCTGTGGACAGACACCTTCTTAGGCCCAGCCTGGAGCACCTCAAGGGAGCCTCTGGCTCTTTAGTTACACCCCTCTGTGGCCCTAACATTTGATGCAGACCAACCCCCAGACCTCTAGAGAGCAGAGACCCCCTCCCAGCTCTTCAATGGCCTGTGCTGTCCACAGCTGGTCCCCGCAACCTCAGACACTGGCCGTCTATTCCTCTGAGTGTCTAATCAACCCACCACCTCCCAACTCTCTAGGTTCCTCAACCAATCAGGGGGAAGTGACATACGTGGCTCGTCGGGTAGGGCCAAGCACGGCCGTGGCAGAGCCCGGGTCCATGTCCACGTCGCTCCGGGAACGGCCCCCACCCCGGCCCTTAGCCCCGAGGCTGCCCCGGGAAGGCCGGCGGCGGTCACTCACCCGGAGGCTCTCTGAGCGCCCCAGACGCCCTGATAGCCTGGACCCCGAGGCCAAGGACAGAGTCAGGCAGAGGCCAGGCCAGGGACAGCAACAGGGAAGATCAAGCAGGGACAGGGCCAGGACCGCAAACAGGACAGGGCCAGGCCAGGACCACAAACAGGACAGGGCCAGGACAGGACCGCAAACAGGACAGACCAGGACAGGGACAGACAGCAGAGACAAGGACAGGGTCAGAGAGACAGGCCAGGGTCAGGACAGACCAGGACAGGACCGCAAACAGGACAGACCAGGACAGGGACAGACAGCAGAGACAAAGGACAGGGTCAGAGAGACAGGACAGGGACAGGACAGACCAGGACAGGGACAGGACAAGGGACAGAGAGATAGGACAGACCAGGACAGGGACAGAGAGACAGGACACGGACAGGGAGACCAGGACAGGGACAGGGAGACAGGACAGGGACAGGGAGACCAGGACAGACCAGGACAGGGACAGGAAGACGAGGGCAGCAACAGGACAGGGACAGGGACAGGAACAGGGGAGACCGGGTCAGGGACGAAACAAGCAACAGGAGAGAAGAGAGTCAGAAGTGATAGGACTTTGGGAGTACCAGGGGTGGGACCCCAAGGGTTCTGAAATTTGGGAGGGACGGAAACCCACTGTAGCCCACAGGAACACCCCCTCCCTTCCCCGAGGTTGGGTATGAGGGTCAAGGAGAAGGGATTTCCATACTTAGCTGGATCGGGAGGGTGACATACCTACCCACCTCACCCCAGAGGGGGTGAAGGGGAGGAGGTGGCCATGGGGAGGGGGAGGGGCTGGGGGAGATGGGGGAGGGCTGGCCCTCACCCCACCCAGGGCCCAGGTACCCACCTCTTCCACTTTCTGGGGAAAGAGGGCACAGGGTCAGAGGTGGACCAGGTGTGCCCAACCCAGCTCCCCAATCCCACCAAGGGTTCCCCAAAGCAGCGGCACAAGGACAGGCAGGGGGCAGAGCCTGCCCCCCAACTGTGAGGGGGACAAGGCCCCCAGGACACAGCATGGAGCATGGTGGGGGGGCAGGGACACCAGGAGCAGGGCCATGAGGGAGGCAGAGCTTACTGAGAGGAAGAAGATGGAGAGTGAGAAGCTGAGAGTGGGGACAAGGAGGGAAGGGGGAAGAGAACCTGACAGAGAAGGCCGGAAACAGATAAAGAGAAAGACGGAGGAGCAACAGAGGGCAGGCAGAATGGAGAAAGACGGAGGAACAACAGAGGGCAGGCAGAATGGAGAAGGGGGAAAGAAAGGGAGAGAGAAAACAAGGGAGAGAGGAAGGCCAGAGGCGGGCAGGGAAGAAGGGCCAGCAGAAGAGGCCACTGCGGACAGGCAGATGCACACTGAAGCAGCAATCCCAAGCGGCCTCCCGCCCTATATGCTACTCGGCCCTGGCCCGCCCAGACCCACAGCCAGACACCTCTCTGTCTCCACATTCTCCTCCGTGCTCTCTGGGGGGGGTAGGGACTCCAGGCTTGTAGGGCCATGTGGGGGTGCGTCCCCCAGCTCCTGGGGGTTATCCACACCTGTGGGTACAGGGGAGGGGAAAAGAGCTGGTTGGAAGGCTTCTGGTATGAGTGCTCCCCTGCAGCTGCCTCGGATTCCGACTTGGGGACACTCAGTGCCTGGCGCAGTAGTTAATACTCTTCGCTCAGTGGTTAATACGAGAGGACAGAAACATGTTCAGACCTGGGAGAACACTGGGTGGGGCTAGAGCCAGAAGCGGGGAGCTGTCACAGAACCAGGGTGTCCTCTGTGCAAGCCATTCAACTAGACTGCAGCCCTACCAGAGGCTCTGCCCTTCTCAGCCCCTGAGCCAACAGCCTTAAGGGAGATAGATAGAGCATGAGGGGTGAGCACACTGGAGTTCAGAGGCGGAAGCGGGTTCCAGAACACAGCACAAGTAAGCTGCAGGAGGGATTTGAACCATTATGCAAGCTTCTGGGATCCAAGGGGCTAAGATAAGAGACCAATAGCCCCATCGGGAGGGAGCTTTGGGGTTCACTATCCAAGAGGACAGGGAAATGTCACCTGGAAGGTGGACTAGCCTCACTCAGACGGCAGGGACTGGTGGACACAGTTGGATTGTGGGGTCAGGAGCATAGGGCTCATCAGTCTAGCAGTGAAGGTGAGGGGTGAGCCTGGTGGCACAGAGCTCGCTAGCATGTGTGAGGAGAGTTCCAATCCCCAGTGCTAAACCCAAAGCCCCAAAACAACACCACCACAAGAAACCTAGTTCAGGGATAAGGAGGCATGGTACCAGGACTGAGGTCAGAGCACAAATGGTACACTGAGGTAGGGGCCAATTACTACCCCTGACCAAGAGTGGAAAAAGATGCTGAGAACAAAGAGCTCTCAAGGGGTATACAGAGGCTTTCATCTGAGTGGGGGCTGAAGGCCTCACGAAATTCCTGTCCTAGCTCGGAAGACGCTTACCTGGGTCCCGGGCGTCGGGGCTGTCGGCAGACAGGGGGTGCAGGGACACTCCTGGGTTGTCCTGCCCAGGAGGACCAACAGTTCTGTCCCGAGAAGGCACGGCCAGGCCTCCCTTCCGGTCTGCAGGGCTTGGTTTCTCTGTGGGAGAAGAAAGAGAAAATGAGAGAACAAAGGCCTCTAGCCTCATCTGCTGCTATATCCAGGAAGCTAAGACACTGTGTTCTCAGCCTTCTTCCTCCCTCCTTGACCAAGGTTCGGGAGCTCTCCGCCTAGTATCCTCCCTCAGACCCAGGGATCCAAGATAGCCCTTCTCCCTCAGACCCAGCCCTCCTCCCTCAGACCAGGGGTCCAGGACAGCCTCTTCCCTTAGACCCAGGGGTACAGACCCCAGCCCTCCTCCCTCAGACCCAGGGGTCAAGGCTCAGCCTCCTCCCTCAGACCAGGGGTCCAGGCCCAGCCTCCTCCCTCAGACTAGGGATCCTGGCCCAGCCTCCTCCCTCAGACCAGGGGTCCAGGACAGCCTCCTCCCTCAGACCAGAGGTCAGGACAGCCTCCTCCCTCAGACCAGGGATCCTGGCCCAGCCTCCTCCCTCAGACCCAGCCGAGGCCCCTCAGACATAGCACGGACACCCTAGCTAGTCCATTACCATCAACCTCGACCTTCAGATGTCGGAAATCTGGAGCTGAAACAGAAGAGTGAGCTGGTGAGCTCGGGCAGCCTGGGACCAACAGGGTGGGCAAGGCTGAGGTAGCCCTCTTACCAGACGACTCTCCCCGGTTCCAGCGGGCGGGGTCTAGGATGCTACTCAGCCCTTTCTTTGTCTTGGGGGGCTCATCTGACCTCCGATTCCCCATCACCTGTAGGAAGGTGACAGCAGGGTTTCCACAGTGACATAAAGCAGAAAAGCAACTCCGGGTGTCCAGTCACCAAGCTGCCCCTGGGCATTCTAGGACGGAGAGGGCCAGACTTGACCTCAGCACCTTTTTCCGGAAGAAGTTCCTCCCTGACTTCTTGTCCCCACTCTTGGTCCGAACCCCCAGATGGCGCATATACAGGCTGACGGCAGTGATCACAGCAGCACTGAGGGGAGGAGACAGTGAGGTGGGGCCTGGGGGACAAGCAGGAGCAACTGTGTCTCCAGCGACAAAGACAGTCCCCACAATCTCAACCACTTCCTGTGGTTAGCGGAAAGGAGCAGCTCCCTCCCACAGCTCCACAGAGGCCACAGCTTCCCTCAGGCCAGCCCATCTGCCTTCCTTTCCCAATACTCCACGGCCATCACCTTTTCTCTTCATCTGAGGAGATGGTGTGTCTGCAGAGAGAAGGAAAAAGCACAAGCCTAGCTCCCGTGTCCACTGGGGCACACCAGGGCTGCCCTCTCCTCAGCCAACAGGGGAAGACAGGAGGAGCGTGGCCTTCTAAGGGCCATTCCTGCCACACAAGTGCTAGATCCAAACACATGGCCATAGACAAGGCCCAGAAACTCCAGTGGGACCCCGCATTTCTAAAAGTGAGGCAGGACGAGACTCTCGGCGGGGCGCGGACGCACAAGACTCGGACGCACAACTGGAGGCTGGCTGCCTGGGCCCTACTCACTGCATCTCCTCCAGCTGGGCGAGCAGCCGCTCCGCCACGTGCCGCTCCCGGGCCTCATAGCTGCCTCGGTCTTTCCCGATCCAGGGCTCCAGCAGGCTCAGCTCCTGCATCCAGGGCGTCATGCCCATGAGCCGCTTGGAGCGGAAGTCTTCCAGCTGCCGGGTCACGGCAGCCTGCTGGCTCTGAACCACCTCCTGCACGAACCGCCTCTGGACATCCTCAGAGATGAGGTCGGGCCGTGTACGGTCTACAGACGTATGCAAGGGCTGGAGACCAGGCTGCAGGGGGCCTGGCTCCTACCTTGGGTCACTGTCCCCACCCACCGGGGGTTCTAGTATCTCCTTGGGATGCCACCCCCAAGAATGAATGACTGAGTCACAGAGTCTACCCACCCCCTCCTTACCAAGTTCAAAAGACACACTGGGAGGAACTGGCACCCGCAGAACCTGCAGGAGACAGGAAGTTCACCCCAGGAGGCCCTGGTGGAAAGGGTCTGAGGGTGACACTGGGAGGTGGCTCACCGCTGTCTTCTCCAGGAAGCTGTGATAGAAGTCCAGGAAGGCTTTCTTGGCTTCTTTGGGGCCCAGTGAGCTTAGCATGTCCGCATGCAGGCAGCAGAGCTGGGGACACAGAGAGGGTCTCTCTCTCCTGGCCTCACAATCACACTCCCTCTCGGAAGAGCCTACGAGGCTCTGTGACCCCTGTCTGTTTGTCTGTCTATCTGTGAGGTTCAGACATGGTCCTCTGCAAAGCATGTTCCGACCTCTGCCCCTGCAGCCCGGGCCTGTGGCCCTGAGGACTCCCCAGATCCTCACTGCTATCAACACTTTCTTTTCCAATTTTTACAACTAGCTAATTCTACCAGTTATTCTGAGAATTGGCAGGTATACCACAGGCCATTCAGGAACCTGCCCATCACAGAGACCTCCATTACCACCATTTTGTAGGCGGGGATACTGAACTCAGGTATATACAGGGGTGCATGACTGTAACCCTGTCACTTTCCGGCTAAAACAGTGGGTGTGAGGTCAGGCTAGGAGGATCCTGCCTGCTACTAAAAAGAGCGGTGTGTATGGGGGAAAGGAGTTCAAAGCTGAGTGTGCTAGCACAGGCCTGCAATCGTAGCCTTGGGGAGTTCAGGCAGGAAGACCAAGAAGTTCAAAGTCCCTGTCTCAAAAACACAAACCACCACCAAAAGGAAAGAAAACAGAGCTTAAGCTGCCTGGCCAAAGGATCAAAATTCAAGGGTGACCCTGGCAACTTAGAGGACCTTATCTCAAAATATAAGGCCAACCCAGCACAGCTGGTACACCCACGCTCGCTGGGAAACAGAGCAGGACTGCTGACGGCCAGCCCGGGCTCCTGCAGGCTCCTTCAGACAGCAGGGGGAGGGCTCCGGGGCGGCTCCGAAGGCAAGCGCAGGTGTTCAAGAGCATCTCAGCACCCGCCAGCCCCCACGGAAAACCACGCCTGGCAGCCTGTGTCTCCACACACTGCAGACGGGTTCCCGGAGCTCACGCCTGGCACCCTGGCCAAAGCTCCCTGACCGGGAGACCCCGTCTCAAAACCAAGGCAGGGCCAGAGAGACAGCTCGGCGCTGCCTGCTGCCAGGTCTGCCGACCGGAGTTCAGTCCCTGGGGACTATGTGATGGAAAGAGAGAGCCGATTCCTGGAACTTGTCCTCTGACCTTCTCACACATACCACGGTGCACACGTACCTGCACACAGGCCCGCAACACATGCTCAGACACAAAATTAAAATTTAACACAAAACATTTAAAAAGAGCTGGGTATAGGGCTACACGCCTTTAATTCCAACACTTGGAAGTCAGAAGCAGGTGCGTCTCTGTGAGTGCAAGGCTAGCCTGGTCTACAAAGCTAGTCCAGGACAGCCAGGGCTACACAGAGAAACCCTATCTCAAAAAAGAAGGAAGGAAGGAAGGAAGGAAGGAAGGAAGGAAGGAAGGAAGGAAGGAAGGAAAGAAGGAAAGAAGGAAAGAAGGAAAGAAGGAAAGAAGAAACAAAAATGAATAAAAACGAGGGCTGGGGATGCAGCAAGGTGGCGGCGGCTTGCTGAGCATGGCTAAGACTCTGAGTTCACTCCTCAGTGCCAACACTAAATAAATATGCTGCTCAACACCACATGGCAGAGCCAGGTTCAAACCCAGGCAGCCTGTCTGACTGTGGACAAACACCGTGAGCTACCTCCCCGGGGCACAGGGCAGGGAGGAACGGACAACAGAGGGGTGGACAGGTGGGCCTCACTCTTTCTTGCCAGACACCTCTACTGCCTGATGCCAACCCTGGGTGGGTACCACTGGGAAGAGAGGGTCTCTGACTGTCCTGGCTCCCGAGGCTGCTGCCTGGCAAGTGACATGTCCTTACTTGTGCTTGAAGACTCACTCTAGTGCAGGCAGAACTTTTTTTTTTTTTTGGAGACAAGGTCTCATGTAGCTCAGGCTGGCCTCAAACTTGCTATGTAGCCGAGGATGACCCTGAAGTCTTGATCCTCCTCCCTTCTCCGGCTGAGTGCGGGATTACAGGCCTGGCTCACAATGTCTGCTCTGTACGGTGCCCAGGCTCAACCCCGGGCCTTTGTTCCTGCTAGGCACACATTCTAACAAACGAGCTCCGCCCTCGTCTTCTGTGTCCTTCAGCCTGGGGTGTCCCTGCCCATGCTATCTTTCAGTCTCCTTGCTTTCTGGGGTCCTCTGCATTCCCCCGACAAGTGCTTTGTCCTGGATGCTGAGTCTTCTTAGGAAAAGGCCTCGCCTCCCTCCCTACCTCCCCCCAATGCTGCAGCTTCTTGCTCCACCAGGGCCTGGCGTCTATTCTGTGGGTGTTCCTGGACCACATGGGTGCAAATCTGCATCTCCTGGGGATCTTCTGCCTGGCCCTGGGGGTTTCTTTTATTTGAGGTTAGGCCTTGCCATAGAACCTCAGCTGACCACGAAGGTGTGGCAATCCTCCTGCCTCGGCCTCACGTGTGCTGGGGTCACAGGTGGGTATCATCACGCCAGGCTCAAGAAAGCCTCTAGGTGAGCAGCCACATGGGTCTGCCTGGTATGTGATCAAGGTCTGCAGCGCCCCCTAGGTCTGACCTGCTTAAAAGCACCAAGTCTCCAATGCTGACACCCGCTGAGGAGGCCTCGCTGGGTGGCTGCCTCGGTGAGGGGCAGTGTCACCACACGGAGTGCTGCCACGGGCAGGGAAGGGGGCAGGGCATGGCATCTGCAAGGGTGCTGGGCTCCAGCGACTCCTGCCCACTGCTGGCCGAGGCTCTCGGGCATCTACGCCTGTCTACAGCACATGCCTGCTTTCTCCACCCCGCCGCGGCTCTGACACTCTGACACTCAGGCTGAGTTCTGGATGTCCCCCTCGGCCCTCATCCCCCACCCCGTATCCTCACCAGAGGTCCTGGCTCGAACTGCTGGGCCACGTGCTGCAGGAGGGCCATGAGGTGGGCCGGGCGGTACTTCACCTGCTCCAGGCTCTGGAACCAGCTGTTCTGATCTTCCGAGTTCTGGACGGTGGGGACGAGGGTGGGGACAAGGGCGCTGAGTGCCACAAGAAGACACAGCTCAGGCTTGCCCAACCCAGCCCCTGGCACCTCTCAATGGCTCCAAGACTCCTGGGAAATGGGGCAGACACGTCTACGCTACAACCCAGAAGGCAAGGGCAAGTAATTGGAAAGGGATGAGATTTGAGGCTATTGAAAAGGCATGTGATACTAGGCCACAGATGATGACAATGCAGCCACTCCTGAGGAGAACTGATAGATTAAGATCAGAGGGAAGGAGAGGACGACCTCCCCTATCAGTGGACTTGGGGAGGGGCATGCATGAAGAAGGGGGAGGGAGGGTGGGATCACCAGGGGAGGAGGGAGGGGCTTATGGGAAGATACAAAATGTATAAAGTGTAATTAATAAGAAAAAAAAGGCATGTGAGTCAAGCTGGGGGTTAGTGAGGAAGATGCCTAGAGAGATAAGGAACACACGAGGAAGACGACAGATGCCAGATGAGCAGGGAGGGCACACCAGAGGATGAAGAGCTTGGTGGACATTTTCCCACCCCATCCTGCTCACCGCCTCCAGCTCGTTTTCAAAATCCTCATCCTCGGCCCCGATGATGATCGACACCAGGCCCGCCCGGGGGGGGCCCTGGGGCCTGCAAGGGGAGACATCACTTCAGCCCACAGGGTGCCCCGATTCACGGAGTTCCCCCACCTTGGCTCAGTTCTCCTGTCTGCACAGCCACTCACCGCACCACCGGCGACTTCTTCCATCTCCAGGACTCCACAGGGCTGCGGAGAGGATCAGCGGTTAGGAGGGGCGAGAGGAAGCGCCTGAGGCCGGGCAGTTACTCACTGATTCCTGGCCCAGGTGCCGAAGGTGAGTAAACAGCACCCCCACCCCAAGCCTCCTCAGCTGAATGCAGCCTCTGTGCGGCCACAAAGAGCCCTTCACAGGCCAGCTGAAGCAGAGAGACCAAGGGGCAGAGCCTGAGGGGCCGGCACTGGAGCCCAGGCACATGGGTCCATGGGTGGGCTGGGTGGCTGCAGGTAAAGCCACCAATTTGGGTCACTAAAGAAGGAAGGACCAGAGAACCAGGGCACTGGCTAGTTCCCAAGGGGGGAAGGACTTTGGGACGAGGAAGACCAAAGGAAAGGTCCTTAAGGAGGGGTAGGAAGAGTATGGGGCCCTAGCTTCTGATCTGTGGAGGCCTCGGTCAGGATGCTGCCTCTGAACCCAGCAGCCCCACTTCCTGTGGCAGGAAGTGACAAGGGCGAACCCCCCAACCTCAGCTCCCTCCACACAAGAAAACAAAACTGAGTCCTTCTCAGGCACCAGCGCTTTCCCTACAGTTCCCAGCTACCGGCCCAGAAATACCACGGGGGTTGGGCCTCAAGCGCCCACGACCCTCAGGTGTGTGATGTTCACTGCGATGCGGCTGTGGCTCCCTGGCCTCCGAGTCTCCACCCCGTCCCTCAGACCTGCCTCACCCTCCCACCATCTCGGCCCCTCCCCTGAGTCCCTCTCTCTCCCGGTACAGCTGTCCTTCCACAGCTGCTGCTGGTTCAGTCAAGCCCCAGCCGCACACTGGCCGCACACTGGCTCTCTTTCTCCATGCCTAGTCTGCCCCATCTCTGGCCCTCCTTTCCATTTTCTCCCCTCTCACTCTCCCCTTTCAGTGGCATCTTCCAGGCCCTAATTAGTCTGACTAATGCCATGGGGATCAGTGTCAGGAGGGAAGGAACTGTGGAAAGAGGGGTGGAGTGGACCAGTGGGGGGCGGGTCCCCACACCCCAAAGCTATTTATAACTCTGGCTGGCAGAGACCCCACCCTTCTCCCTCTTCCAAGAGCCTCCTGCCTAGCACTCAATAAGCCCTAGTTAGGATTCTGAATCCTCAACAATAAGGCTTTCTGCAGGGTCCATAAGTTGATCCTTGGGGGACAGCAAAGTAATAGTGATTATTATGAAACCTAAACTCATGGCATCCTTAAACAGTTCTTCCATACACATTAACTCAGTTTTCGCTTCTCTTTCTTCTAGACAGGATTTCATTCTGTAGCCTGGCCTCAGGCTTGGGGCCATCCTCCTGTCTTGGTCTCTCATGTTCTGGTATTATAAGGTAAAGCAATGTGTCCATCTCTATCAATTCCATTACATCCCTGACTACAAGCATCAGCTCCTGAGAAATGGTGACGGTGTCAAAGACCACCCTTTCCAGCCACACCTTCCAGGCCAGAAGCCAGGAGCACAGACCGGAAACACCCACCTCACTGAAAGATCCCAAAGAAGCCAAGGAGAGCTTGGGCGTGTAGCTCAATAACCCCAGCAACACCAACGCAACCAGATCAACCAAAAAGAGAAAACCCATTTCTCTTAGACCCACACCCATCTTCTCACAAGTGTCTTACTTTCTTTTCTTGAGACAGGGTTTATCTGTGTAGCCCTAGCTGTCCTGGAACTCACTAGAGCAGGCCAGTTTTGAACTCAGAGAACTGCCTGCCTCTTCCTTCCCAGTGCTGGAATCAAAGTCGTATGTCCCCATACCTGGCTCTCACACATGTCATTCAAAGGCCTCCTCAACTCTCAAGCTTAAGTCTTTATTAAAAATATTTATTAACTTATCCCCCCCCCAAAAAAAAGAGAACCCAAGGAAGGTAAAAAATTTGAACAAATGTTCACCACAAGACCCTAATTCTTACACACAGTTAACATGTATTGAATAGCTCACACTTTAAGCGTTCTCAGTATGTGCCACACACAGCAAAGAGGACACACACATGCTCAGGTTCTATGCAGTGCTCAGGGTCTGTCTACAGGCGTTTAAACATTTAGTCCTCTTACTGACCCAATGAAGCCAACATTATTTTGAACTGCTTTATCGGAGGGGTCGGGTCACTGTTATTCTTATTGCCATTTTAAAGAGCGAGAAGTTGAGGCATAGCTTATAAGGAACAGGACAGAGGTCAGGCACTCTGGCTCCACAGTTGAACAGCAGCACACTACACTGCTCTGAGACACTAAAATCTTCGCCTGTGCTGAGACACATCGGGTCTGATGGTGCTGGGAAAGCCATGGGGCTGCTGTGACCTCAGCGGCCACCCAGGTCGGAGCCAGCAGCTCCGGTAGCCTGGGCTCCAAGAGGATCTGATATGGATCCGGGTGGTCTGAAAATTAGATACAGGTAAAGCTGGGAAAATAAGAATCTACAGGCAACTGATGAAGCCTGCTACTGCCCGGCAGAGGGAGCACTCTGCACTTGAGCTGGGGGGGGGGGGGTTAAGGTTCATGCAGTGGGGTCCCGCAGAAGTAAACACACAAGGGCGCCCGGTTCTAAGCCTCGGGTCCGACAGGGTTTAGATTGCAGTGTTCAGGTCTCGAAGAACCTCTAGAAGCCTTGAAAACCCTAAGAGGGCCCTGGAATGTCTATAACCCCGGATTCTGGTAGATACAGAGTGGGCCTCGGGAATCCAGATGGATGGCGATTCTGCAGGGAAAACTAAAGGTCTGCGAGAGCTCGGCAGTGGCGGGTTCTGCAGGAGCCTGGCTTGATCTATGAGAAGCCACGCTTACTAAGAGCCAGGTCTCCGTGAAAGGCTTGCAGAAGCCCGAAAGCTATGTGAGGCTCTCGTAACCTATGGAACGTGGCGAGCCCTGGGTCTTCCCCGGGACGCGGCCGAGGTCCGCGGCGCGGACGGCAGGGAAGACGCGCGGGGCCGGGTCTGACGGCAGCCGAGGGAGGGCCGCGAACCTCACCTGTCGGATGGGCAGAGAAGCCACGGCGGCGCCGGGTCCCGAGGCCTCCGCGCGCGCGCGCTCCGGGGTCCCCCACCCGCGCCGCGGAGTCGCTCTAGCCCAGCGCGAGGCCGCCCGGGCGGCCGGCTCCACTCCTCCCCGCGGCCGCTCTAGCCCGCCGCCTGCCGCTCTCCCGGCCTCGGCGACTCCACTCTCCGCGGCCCGGGCCGCTCTGGCCCGCCCTGGAGGACCCGCGTTTCCGCGTCTCCACGGCCCCTGTCACTCTCCCGGCCCCGCCCCGCGGGCGAGCGCTCACTCCGGAATCGCCCCGGCGCCCGGGTCCCCGGGCCCTGCCCCGACCTCGGCGGTCCTCCCACCTCGTCAGCCGCCCCAGCTCCGATCCACTAACTCCACGCGCCGGTGCACGCGGCGCACCGACTCCCCCTGTCCTCAGCGTCAGCTCCTCCCGCGGGAACCCGGGGAAGCACACACGCACCCGCACACGAACCCACACAACAAAGCCAGCGGACCGACCACCCAGCCGGCCTGCGCCTGAGCCTGTCTTTCCTCGCGACAGACCGACCTGCAAAGCGCAGGGGCCTCCCTTCAGGCCTCCCGTCCTCTCCCCCACAGCCATCACCCAGGGTACAACCAACAACCCGGAGCAGGCGGACAGACAGACAGACAAGCCTCCCGAGACGTCCTCGACGCCGCCACTCCCGCTTCAGGCCGTTTATTTTAGGGAGCCCTGACCAATCACCCCTGAGTGCAGGGGCGAGCGCTTCACAGGAAACAGCTTCAAGTTCAAGTCCCAGCCGCTACCGGCTCAGAGTGACGAGGAGACGAGGCGGTCCCACTCCTGGGCCTCGGTGTTTCCGCTGATAAATGGGTGCGATCGTTCCCGGGAGCCTGCGTCCCAGCCTAGCTCGCCTCTGCCTACCGTGCACCGACCGGTGCCCTCTCTCCGGTTTTGTCTTTCCCCTTGAGGCGGGGTCACGCGAGGTCGCCCCAGCCAGCCTCGAACTCCTGCAACCCTCCTGCCTCTGCTTCCCCAACTGCTGAGAAGACAGGCGTGCGCCCCCGCGCCGGGTTTTCTCTTCGCTCCCTTGGGCACAGGAGAAAGCCGAGGCTGGCTCCCGGGGCGCCCTCCGGGAGGCCCTCCGCCCCCGGTCCCCTCCCCGCTTCCCCCCGGCGGAGGGGGCGGAGGCCGGGCGGGGCCGGGACGCCGTACCTGGTGTCCGCGCGGGGAGGTGACCGGCGGGGCGCCCGAGGTCGGGCTCGGCGGTCCCGGCGTCCCGACTCCGGCTTCCTGGCTCCGGCGGGCAGGAAGTCGGGGCGTTTTTCCGGAGCCCCCGCCCGCCGCCCCTCCCCGCTTCCTGCCCGCGCCCCGTGCCCGCCCGGCACCTCGGCTTCCTTCCCCTTCTCACCGCCCGGGCGGCTCCTCCTTTCCCCGAGGGCGCGGCCCCACCCGGCCCCGCCCGGCTGCCCTCCGCCTTTGTCCGCCTCTGCCGCCTGCCCAGCCCCTGCCCCGGCCCTTCCTCTCTAGACTCTTCCTAGTCTGAGACAGGGCTCACTCACTCACTACAAAGCCCTGACTGGACTCGAACTCGCTGTGTAAACCGGGCAGGACTCGAACCTACAGAGATCCTCCTGCGATTGCCTCCGGAGGGCAGAGATTAAAGCTAAAAGCGTGCGCCGCCATCCTGATCTCTTCAGTCTCTTGTGTGTCCACATTCTCCGGGGGAGGGGGCCGGGGAGAGGCATCCAGCACTCTTCTGAGACCTCAGGCTTTGTCCTTTCTCCGACTGTTGGTATCACACCCTCGGGCTCAGGCCAGCCAGGCTGTGTCTGCTTCTCGCCTCGCCTTCCCTCTATTCCTGTCTCCGGGGATTTCCCGCATCTCCTCTTTGCCCCAGTCCCGTCCTTAGCTGCCTCTCCGAGTCTGTCCTTCCCATCTGTGACCCTGCGGCACAGCACCCTGAGCCTCTCCACCATCCCCAGGTTCTTGGCAGAAACTCCAAATCTGCCCCTTCAGGTGAACCCATGAGGGAGTTAGGTCCCACCCCAGGAAACAATACCTTGTATTTTCAGAGCTGAAACATTAAATTTGGTAACATCCCTGCTGGTTCCCCCTTGCTTAGGGACACGGGGAGGGTTAGGCCCTACGAAGGAGCTAACCCTTCAGTTGGGGTGGGGACTTCCCCACGGGACTTCCTGTTTTTGGGGGGTATGGGGCCAACCAAGACTGACTGTCTGGTCCCAGATCTCAGATGTGGGCAGGTGAGAGCTAGGGCCCAGAAGGAGGGCTTGAGTTTACTGCCCTGGTTCCCTGGCAGTTCTGACGAGCAGGCCTCATGAGATCCATGACTCCTGCCAAGGGCTGCTTTGGGAAGGATTTATTATCACTTAAGCGGCCATGACAGATCTGGGAGGAGGGAGACACTAACGAGGCTGTAATCAGCTCCCCTAGAGGCGGCGATTAAGGGCTCATTACCCACTGGAGAGGGAACCCAGGGCAGGCTTGGGGAAGGACAGAATTAGGTGGGAGAGGAGGGTGGGGCCGTCTGCAGGCAAGGGTGGGACAAGGACTGGGGACGGGGAGAGGAGGAGTGAGGCCTGACCCCAGAGTAGGGCAGGCAGGCAGGGCCGGGCAGCACAGCAGGATGGGGCGTGGGGAAGGGGGTGTCTGTCATGGCTTTTCCAGCTGGACATCTCCAATGTGGAGGCTGCCCACGTCCTGGTAGGTGCCCTGGAGTCCCCTGGAGATGTCCTCATACATAGAGCAGTCATCGAGATTCAGGCCCTGCAGGGGACAGAGTGGACATCAGTACCCCGGCATGGATCGCCTGCCTCAGGTCAACCCCAGGGTGGACCCAATGAGACACCCCCCATTCAGTCCTCACCTCATAAAGATTTTCATCTTCATAGTCATCCGGCATGCCCACCCCAAACTTCTCATTCTGCCATCGCTTCTGCAGAAGGTGAAGGGGCAGGAGCCTCAGTGAGCAAGGGGCAGGTGAAAGGTTTTTTCAGGCCCCATCCTGCTATCAAGCGCTTTATCAGGAAGATGAAGGGGCACACCCAAGGCCACAAAGGGGGATCTTGGCAAATTCTCTTCTCCCCCTTCTCCTCTCTGCCTTCTTATGAGCCTCAAACTCTGAGCCATCCTCCTGCCTCACCTTCAAGTGGAGTGTTGGATGTGCTTGCTACTACGTCCCACTGGCCCACTGTGTGGACCAGGCTGGCCTTGACCTCCCAGAGATCGGCCTGCCTCTGAGTGCTGCTGAGATGGAGGTGTGTGCCATCATGCCGGCCCTACGCTGTTTTTTTCAGGGATGACAAGTATAATATTAGAGAACACCTGTAATTCCAGCACTTGGCAAGCTGAGGCAGGAGGATTATGAATTGCAGACCAGTATCTATACGGTGAATTCCAGCCCAGCCTGAACAACAAAAACGTCCCCACTAAAAAAGAAAGAAAAACTGGGGTGACGTGGCTGTAACTGAAGTGCTCGGAAGGTAGAGACAGAAGAATCAGACCAGCTATGAAGATATAGCAAGCCTGGATTAAGATCTAAACAAACAAAAACATAGCGTGCCTGTGATCCCAGCCCTCAGGAGGCAGAGGCAGGCGGATCTCTGTGAGTTCAAGGCAGCCTGCTCTACAGAGAGTCTAGGACAGCCAGGGCCACACAGAGAAACCCTATCTTGAAAAACCAAAAAAGAAAAAGAAAGAAAGAAGACATGAGTTTGGTCCGGTTTGGTGTGGGTTTTCCACAGTGGAGAGAAGACTGACTCCTGAATGTTGTTCTCCGATCTCCGTGCACTCACAGGCCCAGACTCTCACACCTCTACTGAAATAAATAAGTAGGAGGGCCTGGCAAGGCGGCCCACACCTTTAACCCCAGCAGCGGCTCGGAGGCGGAAAGGGGCGGATCTCTGTGAGTCCATGGCCAGCCAGGACTACAGAGTGAAACCCCAACCTAAAATATAAAACCTTGTCTTGGGGCCTCCGGAGGAGCAAGGGTTTGGGGAGGACCCTGGCTTCCCTGTCTGATTTGGCAAGGAGTGCCTTGGTGGAGCAGGAGGAGAGTGAGAGGGTGTCTAAGAAGCCTCGGGGGACACCTTGACACCTCTTGGGTTCAGTGCCTCTTAAAGCCCCTTTGCTACATTGGTGGCTACTCTCCTTCCCCCCAAAAAAACTTTGTAGGAGGAAACTCAGAATTCGGAGGAGCGGCTGGACACTGGAGTCACAGCCCAGGCTCAGCGGTCTTGGGCGAGCTGAGGTGACATGTCAATCAGGAGCCTCACCCTGAAGAGCAGCAGCGTCCCGGGCACGACGGCACAGAACAGCAGGATGATCCCCTCTGCCGTGATGATCCGGTTCTTGGTGCCCTCCCCCATGTCCAGGAAGGGCCTCGGGATGGGCTCTGAGGGGACAGGGTACTGATCAGATCCTGGCGGGTGTCCTCTCCGCGCCCCCGAAGCCTCCTCCCCGCAGGCGTGCGGACAGCAGGGACCCGCTACTCACGGCGCACCAGGAGGTAAGTGCCGCAGGAGTATGCCGTGACGTTGTTTTCTGTCACGCTGCACCTGTACAAGCCCCGGTGGCTCTTGTTCACGTTGGAGAGGACCAGCTCGCCTCCGGGAGCTTCACCCACTAACACCGGGGGCCCCGTGAGGTTGCCGTGAACGATGCGCCACCACGTGATGTTAGGGGTCCCCCCGTCGTGACTGCAGGTGAGGTGGGCCTTGCTGCCCGTGTTCACTGTCACGGACGTCGGACTCCATGCCACCGTCAGGGCCTGGCAGCCGGGGCCTGTGCAGAGGTGAGGACACACGGTGGGTCAGGCCTGGAGATGACGCTGATGCCCCACTCCAGAGCTCCTGGGAGCGCTGATGGCAAGGACAGAGACAGAGAGAGGACGCCAGGCCTGGGGAGACACCCTGCGGCCTCTCTCCTTCATCGCTTCACCGCATCCCCGCCCCCAGCCGGCTCAGGGAGTCTCTCAGGAAGGCCTTCTCGTTGGTCCCCATCCAGGCCAGGGTGGGGTTGGGGCGCAGCTTAGGCCCAGGGCAGGCAGGGCCCGGAATCGCCGAGTCTACGGGAAGAGGGACTAGAGCCCAGCTCTGCACCTCCCTGACCCTGTCCTTCACTGGCCTTGGCTTGTCTCTTGTTGGCCTAGGCTGTTTCTCACCTATGTAATTTAAGTGTGTCAACCTAGGGACTGGGCCTGAGTTCTGTCTGGCCAGGGCGGAGGCTCTGAGAGACTAGGGTGGCCTGGCCACGGTGGCTATGGTGCCAACTCTGTTTACCTTGAAAGCCCTCCCGCCCCACAGGACTTATGGGCCCCCCTTTCTGGACATAGCGGGGACAGGAGGAAGAGGAAGGTCAGGTCAGAAGTGAGGAAGAAAGGGAGGGGAAGGAGGTCTCGGCTTCATGGCTTCGGGCTTAGGACTAAGACAGCAGGGCCTCAGCCCCTGTTCCTAGGGACACTGAGTGGATGGCCTTTCCCCCTGGAAGGTCCATGTGCTCACAACTGGGTGGGGGAGGGGAAATGGAGAACCTGACCCATGCCCTCCATCTAGAATTAAGGCAGAAAAAAGCCAGCCCTTCCCCTTACCTCAGGGAGCACAGACTGGTAGGTGCTGTGGGGTCAGCAGCCTTCCCCAGCCTCCTCCAGCCTTGCCTTGCTAATAGGAGGCTCTCCCTGGCTCCTTCCCCTGATCCTTTTCTTGATGGGACAGGGTCTCAGTAAATTGCCCAAGCTGGCCTCAACAGAACTCATGTAGCCCAGGCTGGCCTCAGCAGTATTTCTCCCGCCTCGGTTTCCTGAGTTCTGGCTTTTCTTTAAGGGATGTGCCCTGTGTGTCACCCCGCCTGGCTCTGCTCTGGCTCCGCTCTGCCCCTCTCCCATCAGCCGTGCCCCGCATGGCACCTTCCCTTTGGCCACATTACCCAGGCAGGCTTCGGACAGGAAGAGGAGGAGAGGCAGGGCTCGGAGGGCTCCCAGACTCCCTGGCATCTTCGTTGGCTAAGTCCTTGCTTGCTTAGTCTGGGTTGCAGAGGCCCCGAGGTATCCGATTCCACCCCAGCACCTGCTCACTTCCTGTTCAGCCCCGGGGACGGAGATGGGGTCCAGTGGCCCTCACCCCTGGGCCTTTCTCTGCCATATGGTTCGGGCCCTGAGCAGAAAGGAACTGCCCTGCAGCTGCACAGGCCGCAATTCCCTTGAGTCTCGAGTGCTTGGGTGGGGGAGAAGCTGGTTCAAGGCCCCGTTCATTGGCACCGCTGAACCTGGGGAAAGATCCTGGCCAGGCAAAGTTCTGGGTGCTTGGTGTAGGCGGGCCCACAGGCTTCCCTCCACCCTGGCTCCTGCTCTCAGCAATACAACCTTTTCTTTCTAACCCCTCTAACCTCTGTCTCTGTTTTGTTATTTTTTGAGACAGAGTTTCTCTTTGTAGCCTTGGCTATTCTGAACGTGATTTGTAGACCAGGCTGGCCTTGAACTCACAGAGATCCACCTGCTTCTGTTGGAATTAAAAGCGAGGGGCACTCCTGGCTTCTTTTTCAGTTTTGAAACAGGGTTTCACTTAGCCCAGTTGGCCTTGACTTTGCCATGCAGGTGAAAATGATCTTTTTTGTCTGCTTATTGTCACCTGTTTTATTAATTGATGACGCTTTATGTGTATGAGTGTCAGCTCGCACGGATGCATGTATGCGTGTACATGTACGATGTGTGTGCCTGGCACCTGTGGGAGGCCGGAAGAGGGCTACAGAGCCCTGGGAAACGGAGTCAGCGCTCGTAACCGCCCAGTCAACTCCCCAGCCTCCGCAGGTGCTCTGGAAGCCCTGCTCTCTTCCCTCTGCCTTCCTCGGAGTATTGCCACCATGCCTGGCGAAGCTTTTCTCTCATAGCTTAGGGATGAGCCCAGGGCCTCAGGCACGCTGGGTGACATCAACACCGGCCAGCCTTGGAGCTCTTTTCTGTCCTCTCCTCACCAGGGCAAAGGGGACCATCCTCCAGGGGAGGAAACCGAGGCTCAGCCAGGGCACGTGGTCACCTGCCCGGGGCCGTACAACGGACTGGTTCAGAGGTTCAGGAGCTGACTCAGGGCCGCCTTTGTAGGAGGGTGTGATGGCTCATGCCTCTAATCCCGGAATTTGGGAGGCTGAGACAGGAGAATAATGAATCAAGAGGTTAGCCTGGGCCACATAAGGACAGACAGACTGTGGGGGTGGGGCAAGGCATGACAGTGAGCTCACTGGCCAGCCAGTTTAGCCAGCATATCGGCTTTGGGTTCGGGAAGCCTGTTTCTTGTCTTAGTTTATCGGTGAGAGATGAGACAGCTCAGTGGTTAAGAGCACGTCCCCACTTGTTTTTTCTTGCTGAGGAACTAGATTTAATTCCTATCACATGGTTCACAATCATATATATAGACACTAAGTCTAAAAACAAAACCCTAAAAATATTTAATTCTAAAGCCAGGCATGGTGGTGCACGCCTTTAATTCCACTGCTCAGGATGCAATGGGTAGGGGGATCTCTGTGGGTTCGAGGCCAGTGTGGTCTACAGAGCTGGTTCCAGGACAGCCCAGGCTTCAGCCTCCACATGTATGCTGGCAAGCAAGCACACAGGCATGTACACAGCCAAGTAAATAAAAAGAAGAGATAAGGTGGGTATGGCTGCCTGCTCCCGTAAGCTCCGGACGTTTGCTTACCTGCATCCTTTTTTTTTTTTTTTTTACTTACCTACATCCTTAAGGCAGCTCTCACAAGGGTGCTGCTGGGCGCGGTAGGCACGCCTGGAATCCCAGCACTCGGGATGCCATGGGCAGTGGGATCTCTGTGAATCTGAGGCCAGCCTGGTCTAATAGGTAAGTTCTAGGATAGCCAAGACCACACAGGGAAACCTTGTTTTGAGGGGAAAAAATAGACGTGTTGCTATATGCCTCAAATTTTGGAATTTGGGAGGCTGAGACAGGATAAAGGCCAGTTCCAGGCCAGCCTGTTCTGCAAAATCTGCCTCCAAAACAACAAAAACAAAACGAGAGAGAGAGAGAGAGAGAGAGGAGAGAAATATAAAACAACAAAAGGGAGGCAGAAGCAAGAGGATTGTCACAAGTCCCGGGCCAGTGCCAGAGCTCCGCAACAAGACCCTATCACAACCAACGAACACAAACATAGGGGCAGGAGCGGAGTCAGCTGCTAAGAGCACATGCTGACTTGCAGAGGATCCGGGTTCCAAGCCCCACAGTCACCTGGGGTGGGGTACAGTTGTAACTCGTTTCAGAGGATCCAACACAGCCTCCTGAAGAGGCCCATGGGTTCATGCACATATGCAGTGCACACATACACATAAAATACCTCCCCAAATTACCAAATAAGTGAAAAATAGCGGGAGAGCCTGAGGAGTAGAGGCTTAGCAGCTCTGGTGAGGTCCAGGGTCAGTTCCTAGGTCAACAGAACAAAAACGACAGGGTAGTTTTGGAAGGAAAAACCGAGAAAACAAGGAAGCAGTTCCAAGGTCTACTTGCATGAGAAAGGCCAGCTGTTGCAGCACAGTAGGCCTGCAGGGTGTCAGGCGGTCAAAACCGAGGGGGGGGGCGCGGAGAACAACCTGGTGCAGATGGGGAGGTGACTAAGGGGAAGTGACACGGCAGGCTGTTTGGGGACCAAGGCCTGTGGCAGAGACCAATGAATGCCTCCTGGGGCTGGAAGAGGGCACAGCAGGCTTCACCCACCGTTCACCCTTAATCTACTTTTGAGGTAGAGGCAGGTGGATCTCCGTGAGTTAGAGGCCAGCCTGAGCTACCATGAGTTCCTGAGCAGCCAGGGCAGAGAAACCTTGTCTCAGAAAACAGAAGTTTAACTCTCCTTTCATCTTCACTGGTGCTTTGCCTGTATGCACATGGTCAGCTCCCTGGGAGCTGGATTTACCTGAGGTTGTGAGCTGCCATTAAGAGTTGAACCAAGGGCCTCTGAAGAGCAGCAGGTGGTCTGAACAGCCAGCCAGTGTTCTTTTTTCTTGTAATGTTTGGTTCTGTGTTGGGTTCCTGGGCCAGGCAAGTGTTCTGAACTACCATTTTCCTCACCTAACATTTTTTTTTCCTTCGAGACACGGTTTCTCTGTGTAGCCCTGGACTCACTCTGTAGACCAGGCTGGCCTTGAACTCAGAGGATCTGCCTGCCTCTGCCTCCTGTTTGTCTTTTTGAGTTCTGGCTGGCCTAGAACTCCTTGTGTAGAGCAGGCTGGCCTCAAATTTGTGGTTCTGACTCTCTGTAGGGGTATGCCACCATCCCTAACTAAATCCCCCACAGGTGCACCTGAGCATAGGTGTCCCTGAGGCCCTAGAGATGGCAAATAGTTGAGTCACCTGACATGAATGCTGGGAACTGAAATCAGGTCCTCTGGAACAGCAGAAAGGGTTCTTAAACCCTGGAGCTATCTTCCCAGCCATGGGTGGAACAATTTTTTTATGCAAGGCAGGCTTCAAACACTGTTTTGCATGCCTGAAATAGTTTAAGCCCACTGCTCTGAAGGTAGGGGCAGGGCTGGTGGTTAGTTCAAGGCCATTGCAGGCTATACATTAAGCTTTAAGAGACTGTCTCCAAAATAATGGAAGAACAAAACATTTTAACTGTTATTTGTGTTTAAAGATGTGGACTTCAGATTGCGCCTGTTTCTCGTTAAATGGCTCTAAGCTACTTCCCCTTCTGTGCCAACCACCTGTCCAGAGTCGAGATTCACAGCACGTGCCTTCTCGCGCTCAGAAGAGCCAGCTCACCTTGGTGAGCTGTGGCCACCGCCTGCCCCCTGGTGGCTGGCGAGCCTGTGCACACCTGCAGCAGAGATCAATGGAGCACAATGAGGTGTTGTTACAGGACACCCACATGCCCTTCACAGTGGGAGGTGGAAGAGCCCCAGCCATTTCCACCAAGGGCCTAGCTCCCCCGGGGTCGGTGAGCGAAGGCAGGCAGACCTCAAAACCTAGGCCCTCCCTCAAGGCGGGAAAGCAGTAAGGTAGAGCAGACTAGCACAGGGAGGCCAGGCCCCTCAGGGCCTAGGCCCAGCTTTCAGCCGCTGTTTCACTTGTCTAACTGCAGTTAAATCTGCTCAACCCCACACAGGCCTGGAGCACAGAACCCACCTTCCATCTGTAGCACAGGCCTGTTAAAGGAAGCCAAGGTCACTCCCAACCATTCTGCCTGCCACCCTCGAAAAACTCGGATTTCCCCTTTTCTGGGAATTGCTCACAGGGTGTGGAAGCACTGAAGGAAAAGGCCTGATCTTGAAAACCAACCAACCAAAAAAACAAACTCAGACCAGACTATGAATGAGGCAATTTATTAACCCAGCATCCTTTGTTCTAATGCTTCTTGTTGGCAGCTGCCACCTGTGGGAAGACAGAGGCAGATCACACGGGGGCCCAGGCTGTGGCCCACTGCCTGTCTTTAAGACCCTAAGGAGACCTCAGGCTCCAGTCTTTCGCAGTCAGAGTGCCAGGCAGGCCTGAAGCTGCTTCCCACCCACCCTCTCCTAAGCTGCTTGCACCAGGTGCCCAGGAGGCGTGAGGACTGAGGGAGAGGCTACAACCTGAAAGTAGTCTGTTAGGGGGACAAAGTCCAGTTTACAGAAGCACCCAGTCCCCGAGAGCGCAGTGGACAAAGAGCGCCCCTCACCTGTCCAGCAATCCTGTCCAGATCTCTCTGTCCCTGAGGTGTTAGCTTGCGGCCCCTGTGCAAAGGAAAAGAAAGTCACATCACTAGGATGAGCGCAGCCCAACTCCCCCCTCCTGTGGAGGACAGAAGGAGTGCCATTCCGCTTGCCAGGTCCCGCTGGTGCCCAAGCCAGCTGCATCCTAACGAGCCGGGGGCAGGAGTGGGAGACCCTGGGGAGCTGACGGGGTGTCGTTTGTGCAAGCATTAGATCAAAAGCCCCGAAAAATCAATCGGGAAAAGTTAACGAGCAGGCTAATGAAAGCGGACAGTCGCTAAATTACCTTCCCAGAGCCAGGAGTCAGCCAGAGAGGTCTGGGTGAAGCCCCGCCCGCTTCCTCAAGGCTCCATTTATAGGCCAGCCCACCAGCCCCACCAGCCACCAATGGACAACGGCTGCCCAGCCCAGCCTCAACCCAGCATACCCATCTTGGTCCTTTTCCACCATTTTCAGCCCCTCCAGGGCTTGGAGGACCCGGCGGGCGACGCTCTTGGAGCCTCTGCTGAAGTGGCTGGGCCTGACACCGTTTCTCTGCCGTCCTCCGTAGATCTTGGTCATGGAGCCGACCCCTGCGCCACCACGGAGGTACAGGTGCCGCGCCGTGGAAGCTGGGGATGCGACAAGAGGGGCCTTAGGCCACGCGCCTGTCACTGGCCTCTTCCGGCTCTCCAGGTGGAAGACACACTGAAGGCTTGGTGCATGTTCCCTGGCTCTGCTAGGCTCACTAAGTGTGTCCGCCTCTAGGGCCCGAGGCAGAACAGGGAAGAAGGAAGCAAGTGTTCTGTGGTGTGGCTTAGCCCTGGAAAGCAGCATGCTTTTTACAGATGACCCTGGCTCAACTATGGACACAGGATCACTGCTCCTGGGGCGTCCTTTTGGCCTCTCAAGCAAGCTTCAGCAAAGCCCGGTTGGGGTTCAGCCAGCTGTCAAGAGCTGCAAAGGGCTGTAGCCCAGGCAACAGCCCAGTCTCACTCAGGACTGCCACCAAAAGCCCTACAAAGCAGCCGACAAGGAACTGCAGCCTACGTACCCAGGCGCCCAAGATGTAGACTTGGGCCACCAGGCTCTGCCTGCCGAGGAGACAGCGGCAGCACCCCAGCCTCTACGGTCACTTTGCTTTAGAGTTTTTTAACCCCACATGTCAGGATGAGGAGGCTCAGCTGGCCCACAGCCACTGCTCTATTTCCCGGACATCCCCCCGCTAGAACCTGTCTGCACAACGCCATCTGCTCTTCCTCAGAGCAGCGAACCTTGGTTTCACGGGACGGACTGAGGATCACTATCAGCCGGGGCAGTGGCTAACAGCACTGAGCCCCGAGTCTGAACAGCAAATAAAAGCCATGGAAAGCACAGCAGCCGGGCCAGGAGGGAGCTGCACAAGGCCCTGCAGCTTCTGCAATGGAGTCTACATCCTTTTTAGCCCTGGAAACCTCCTCTGTGAAGAACCACCTGCCACTGATCACAGTGCACCAAGCTGACACTGGAGCATGCTGCATTCCAGGAAGGGCTACTTAGAGGCCTCTTTCCCGAGCTCTTCCTCAGCGGGACCCGACTCTAAAGCCAAATTACAGAACTATTGCTGGGATTTCAGAGGGTCCACGAGCCAGGGCTTTGGCTGGTCCCTTGGTCACTCCCTGCCCCAGGAGGGCTGCTACCTTGCATTTGAACAGACTAAGGCCTCAGGAGGCAGCGAGGTTTAGCTGTGACAGAAAGACCTGGTGCTCTGTACAGGGTGGTGGTCACAGCTTGACCAATGTGGGTCAAAATGTGGGACAAGGAACCCTGTATGTTTCTTGCCCCAACCCCTTTCGGTCAAACTTCTAAGGAAACCCCACTTTCCTGGCCTCATTCACCCTGCTGGTTCTAGCGTGCAGCAGGAACTGTCAGTAAGCCGGGTCTTGTTTCTAAGCCACCAGCGTAGGACCCCATGCCCACAGCCCCCAACCTCCCCTACCTTTTGCTAGAGCCTTTTCTCACTCCCCAATACAAACACGAGCCTGCCACCTCATCACATGCCAACTACAAATACAAGTGAGAAAATAGGCTAGCTCTCAATTATCAAGAGAAAACTGCAAACACTGCCTAGAAAGCAGTTTTCAACAGAGCTAGCCTACCTTAGAAAACAGCCAGACAGGAACCCATCAGACTCAAACCTCTATGCCACAGGAGGGCTGGAAAAAAAGGTCCAAAAGACTTCTGGAGTTCAGGAAAGAGCCACAGGCCTCCAGGACTGCTGGGACTACACACACATACCAGGCCTGGCCCCAAACGCAAAACCACCTGGCTTGACTCACTTTTTTGCTAACCCCACCACCTGGGATGTAGACAGGGGGCTTAAGTCAACCCTCAGCACTGTGGAGGCGGAGCAGACGCCAACCCGGTCTGCACAGCTTAGAACTTTCTAAGCCAAACGGGACACACATGAAGACCCTGTCTAATAAAACACAAAACCAGCAGTGACAAGAGCAGTGGGTTTACGTTACCAGCGGGCGGACCCTGGACATGCCAGGACCTCCCAATCTACCCACTGTGTACACAGACCACACAGCCGCACGACCACCGCCTTCCTCCTAGCAGCTAACTCCAAAGCCACTGCCAGCGGCACCGCACTCGCTCCCAAAGGGGACGTACCCAGGCCTCAGCACTGTAGCTGGGGAAGCCCCTTCCCGCCTATGGCACCCTTGCTTTTAAAACTGCGCCGGCAGGTGGATGCACCGACCTTCTCCCACACTGCAGAATTGACCTTTTGGTTTTCAGAAGCTGTGTTGAGTCATGATGATCCCTGTGCCCATGCCAAAGCCTGAAACAAAGTGGATCCCATGGACATTTGACTTAATGAATTAAGTGTAAGTTTATAAACTGCTTCACATTCTCACGGGAGGCACTACTCACTTCCCATAACCTGAACAGAAACTGCAACCTCGACACAACCCAGTACTGACCCCAGAGTCAAGACATCCACACAGGACTCACCACAAGTGATTGAGACCCAAAGCCCAGAGGGGCCCCCAAGCTTTCTCTGGCACCAGGAGCGTGGTTAAGTTTCCTTTAGAACAGGCAGGGTGCCCAACCGCTCAAACATGACCCAATAGAGATAGATTTAAGTCTGAACGCGCCACCACGGGCACAGAAAGCCGCCAGACTCTAAAGTGAGCGCCTACAAGCAGAATACGAACATTTATTTGCTCCAAGGCTTTCTCTCCAGCTCAAAGCGTGGTCTGCTTCCTTCTGGTTGGGAATGTAAGACATGGATCCCTGCACGGGCCCACCCAGCCCCCACGCCTGGGCGGGCAAAGCCCCAGCTCTCACCAGCTCGTGTGTAGAACCAGTTCTCATCATAGGGCGCAAGCTCTTTATGTTTGGCGAGCTTGACTGTGTCCACCCATTCGGGGACTTTCAGCTTCCCGGACCTAGGACCAAGAAAATCGAGAAAAGCAAGCGCACGTCAAAAATTTTCATAAGCTACTTTAGACATCCACCCCCACAGCCGGAAGAAGCTTGTCTGACATTAGCATGTCACAGGCTACACGGGAAACACGGCCATGCCGGGCCTAACTCACAAGTGGCTCCCACAAGCGACCAGCCCCACGGCGGGGTCAAGCCCCACGGGAGTCAGGCCTCAGTTCTCTAGCACTTACTTTTTGAGGAAGGCTGCCAGAGCTCTGACGAACTCCTGCTGGTTAACGTCTTTTACAGTAACTCCAGGCATCTGTGGGGAAACCAAGGGCGAGCGTGTCGACAGGAGGCTCGGCGCGACCCCGGCCGCGGGTCCGGGTCAACACCGATCCCGCTCGGCCCCGATTCCAGCCGGAGCCCCGCCACCCAAGCAGCCTGCCTCGCTCCCACTGCAGCTCGGCGGCCGGGGCTCCGCCGGAGCTCCCGGCGCCCGCGCACGGCCCCGGCCCGGCGCGGCTGCCCCCCACGTCCCTCCCCGGGCGCTCCGCTCACCCCGCCACCTAAGCCCTGGCACTGCCGGGCTGCGGCGATCGGGCATGTCCGGGCCTGCGGCGCGCACGTGGCCGCGGCTCCGGGGGCGGAGCGACCCCGCGCCGGCCTTCCCGCGGCCCCCGGCACGAGCTCTCGGGCCGGATAGCCCGACCCCGCGGCCCCGCGCACAGCCGGACCCAGAGCCCTCGCCTACCGTGCGGCCTCCGCGCTGCCAGCCAGGGGAAAGGGAACGACGGGGTTTCCCGGGCGCACAAGTCGGGCGTCGCGTCTCGCGAGAGTTCAGAGAACTCGCGAGAGCGGACGGGCTAGCGGGCCCCGCCTCCGTGAGGGCGGATGTGGCTTCGTCTCCACCCGACGTGGGCGGGCCAGGAGGGGGCCGTCCGCGGCCGTTCCCTCCCTGGCTTCCCTGGGGCGTGGCCGCGGAGGGTGGCGGGACGGGCGTGACGGCGGCTGTTGGGCGGAAGCGTGGGCGAGGTGGACGGCCTACGGAAGGAGGGCGGGTGGGTCTCCAGGCCCCGCTTCCCCGAGCTGCGGCGCTCCCCGGCCGGAAGCGGTCGCAGTGAGGGCGGGACCGCGACGGGAAGCCTGAGGCTGGGGCGAGGGAGACCTGTGGCCACCACCACCTTTTGAGCTAGCACCAGCGTTGGCGAGGCGGCACCGGGCGGAAGTTCCACCCTGTTTTGGGCGGAAATTGCTTCGGCTCCGTCGAGGGCAGCGGAGTGGAGCTGGGGCGTTGGGGGCTGGGCAGAGGCGGGGCCTTGGCGGCCGGTCTAGAGCCGGTGAGAGTTTGCCGGTCTGCGCGTCGCCCAGGCTGACCTGTGTAACCGTAACTAACTTCTCTCTCTGTGTGTTCATTTGTTGTGTTGACACAGGCGCCATCTGTTCGTTGATTTGAGACGGAGTTTCACTGTTTAGCCGAGACTGCCTGGGATTTTCTGTTGGCGGGAGGCTGGTCCTGCTTCATGCTACGGACTCTTTGCACTACCGCCCGCCTCTCTGGGCGCCCAAAATGTTCGAGACGACTGAATGTTATTCAAGATAAAAAAGGGACATGAGGTCCCTTGAGATGGCTCAGTAGGCAGAAATTCGTGGGTCTTGGAACCCACGATGGAAAAAGGAAATGCGTCCCCTGACAAAGGAATTGTTAACACACAGGACAAAAAGTCGAGGGGCTGGAGAGGTAAATGGCTGAGCTCTTCCAGAGGCCCTACAGCTCCCGGCACCCACGCTGAGGGGCTCACAGTCACCTGTAACTCCGCCTCTAGAGGAAGACGTGCTCACGTGACCCTTGGGAGCACACACACACACACACACAATTAAAAAGTTAAAAACAAAACAGAACAAACACCCCGCCAACACCTAAATGGGCTGAACATAATGATGAACACAGAGTCCCAACAGGAGGATTATGCAAATCTGAATTCACGACGGCTTCGCATAGTGAGCTCTAAGACAGCCAGATAGGAGGAGACTGTCTCAGGGTTTCATTGCTGTGAGGAGTCTCGTGACCACAGCAACCCATGAAGGCAAACATTCATCTGGGACTGCCTCACGGGGCAGAGGTTCAGTCCCTCATCGCCTCATCGTGGCGGGAAGCACAGCCATGGCGGGAAGCACGGCGCCGTGCCGGCAGACGTGGCGCTGGAGGAGGAGCTGCCGCTCTCCATCTGGACCGCCAGGCAGCAGGAGACTGTGCGCCACACTGGGTGTAGCTGGAGCATAGGAGCCCTCAGAGCCGCCCCGCAGTGACGCACTTCCTCTAACAAGGCCACGCCCCCTAAGTGCCCCGCCCCGGGGCCCAGCAAAGCACATGACTTTATGGGACCATTCCTAGTCACACCCCAGAGACCTTATGTCAGAACCTGAACCAAAACACCCTCAGCGTGAAAACCACCTCTGAAGTCAGTAAAGTGCACGTCTGGAGTATCTGTGAGAACTTTCCCGCAGCCTGAGTGTGAGGACCCGACCTAGTCAGTGGATCAATCTTGATGGAGTCGTAACAGGACCCACTGTTGAGGCCGGGTGTGAGGGGGGAATGGTGTACTCACCTGGAGTACCCCTTCCAGTTAAAGCGAAGGCCCTTAGCAGGGCACAACCACAGTGACGGGCCCCGGGGTGTGGGGCCAGGTGACCATAAACTACCCCACCCCATGTGGAGGAACAAGCTAAGTCTTGGGTTGTTTCTAGCTGGCATTTGGTCCCAGTGACGAGGAGGCCGGCTGTATCTCGGTGGGCGTGTCGGCTGTCACAGGTGTGACTTTAGTGTGGTCTGAGCGGCTCATATGGGGACCTTTTTTCACTGTTTTCCAGGTCAGCATACAGAGCAGTGGGCTCAGCACGTGTCGGTTTACACTGCTCTCCCTGCTTTCCCTGCCCCCCGCCACTCCCGCTGCCTTCCTTCCGGCAGCCGGCACGTCCTCACGTCTGCGCCCCTTACACTGATTCCGTTGCCTGCTTATCACCTCCCTTAAGATCTAGTCAGGACCCCGCTTTCTAATTTCATAACCCCTCTCCCACATGTAAGTACAAAATCATAATTTTAAATCTAAGGTCTGTACATAAACAGTTTTTGTTTTTTGTAGTCAGGCTAATTTCACTTAACCTAACGGTTTCCAGTTCTGTTCATCTCCCTGAAAATGTTATGACTTCATCCCTTCTTTTTCTTTGGGGGGGGGGAGATGTATTTATTTATTCGTGTATGTATGTATGTATGTATGTATACAGTGTTCTATCTGCATGTACACCTGCACGCCAGGAGAGGGCACCAGATCTCACTATAGATGGTTGAGAGCCACCACGTGGTCTTCAGAATCTCTGGAAGAGCAGCTAGTGCTCTTTTTTTTTTTTTTCCCCAGAGCTCAGGACTTAACCCAGGGCTTTGCGCTTGCTAAGCAAGCACTCTACCACTGAGCTAAATCCCCAACCAGCTAGTGCTCTTAACCTCTGAGCCATCTCTCCAGCCCTTTTTTTTTTTTTAATTTATTTATTTATTTATTTATTTATTTATTTATTTATTTACTTACTTACTTACTTATTTATTTATGTGTGCTTCTCAAGATAGTGCCTCTCTGTGCAGCCCTGGCTGTCCTGGAACTCGCTCTGTAGACCAGGCTGGCGTGCGCCGCTGTGACTTGATGATAAGGGTCTTAGTGAGGTTTCCGGGGCTGTGCTAAAACACCATGACCAAGGCAACCTAGAGAAAAAGACTTCGTTTGGGTTTACGGTTCCAGGGGGTCAAGAGCACTATGACCACAGGCAGGCATGGTGGCAGGAGCTGGGAGCTAACAGCTTGTATCTTCACAGAGGAGAGCGCTCACAGGAAGAGGCGACAGGCTTTTCATTCCAACCCCACTCCCCGTGACACACTTCTCCAGAAAGGCTACACCATAGGAACCTCCCCAAACAGTGCCAACAGCTGAGCACCAAGATTCTCAGTGCAGCTTTGTGTGTGCGCATTGGTGTGTGTGTGTGTGTGTGTGTGTGCTACAGCGTGTGTCTTCACCTTACACCTTGTTTGCAGCCGTCAGTGTCTTTTGTCATTTGCTGCACCACGAGCTTCTGGAAATTCTCTGATTTCCATATTGCACTATGAGCTCTGGGATTACAGATGTGCATTCACATGGGTTACGGGGATTGGAACTCAGGTCTTCAGGCCTGTATGGCCACCTACTGAGACATCTCTCCAGCCACCCCATGGAGTTTTTAAAATATCATTATTTAATCATGTATGTGTACAGGTGTTTTGCTTGCAAGTATGTGTAGCATGTGTGTGCCTGGAATCCACAGCCGTCAACAGAGGGTGTCAGATCCCCTGGAACTGAGTTACCGACGGTTGTGAGCTGCCGTGTGGGTGCTGGGAATCAAACACAGCCCTCCAGAAAAGCAGCCAGTGCTCTTAACCTCTGAGCCATCCCTCTAGCTTTTGAATCCTATCAATGTGTAGTTGGAAAATATGTTCTTCCACATTCTGCGGGCTGTTTTTCTGTGTGGCCCTGGCTGTCCTGGAACTCCATGTGTAGACCAGGCTGGCCTCGAACTCAGATCACCTGCCTCTACCTCCCCAGGGCCAGGATTGAAGGCTGGTTTCCTGTTTTCTTAAACTCTGGTGATTGAAAACACTACTTGCTGTAAAACTAAGTAGAATGGAAAGGATGGCCTGGGGGAGGAGCTGTTGGCTTCATGCTGCACAAGTGTCTGGGTAGTGGAGCCCGAACTCAGCGGGAACACAGTTCAGAAGGGCTGGGTAAGAGCCTGTTTACTCAGTCCTTCAGTCTGAGTCCCCAGAGAGAACCTGCACAACAGGCCTGTCCTCTGAATAATCATTCTGGGGACTGGGGACACAGGCTGACACCAGCACAGCTTAGAGTGATCAGGTTTGTCCGTCTAGGGAACATACAGGCCTGAGGAGCTTAACACAGATGCCAGATGAAAGGATCGATGCTTTGTGGAACAGCTCCGGGTCCCTGAGGGTCTGTGCAGGGCATGGTCACCTGCCAGAGCATGGCACAGTACTGCACAGCTCACTCCCCAGGGAGATGGGCTAAGAGAGGCGCCTACACAGCGTGGCCAGCACAGGCTCCGAGTGGCCTGGACGGAGTGGGTATAAGGGCCGTTGTGGTGTGATTTACCAAGTAGCCCGTGGGAAAGACAAAGAGCGGCAGGCTCAAGTGTGCTCAGGAGCCGGCCATGTTTGTGTGGGGCCGGAGTGAGCAGAGCTTGCATTTTCAAAGGGCAGACAGTAACCGTCTTCTAGAAACAACGGCTGGGCCGCTGTGGGAGGGTCTTGTGAGGGAGAATGCTTCGTGCTTGCAGACTTACTGCCCCTTTCTGCAGAGCAGCCCGAGGGCTCAGAAGCTCCCGCTCAGATCTCCGCCTGTTCCCTGCTTGGCGGTGGCACGAAGGGCGCGGCCCCCAGGGCACTGGCTGGCCGCTGGGGCTCCCAGCAGCGAGAGAAGGCTGCTCTGCTCGGAGAGGTGGCAGTGTGGAAGCAAGAGCGTGTGCGCGTGCGCATGCGGCCCTGTGCCCAGCCCCGGGCCGTCTCAGTGCGCAGCCCTGGCGAGCCTGGAGCGCCGTACAGACCAGGCGGGCCTTGGAGTCACAGAGGTTCCCAGCTTCTTTCTCTCAGAAGCAGGAAGCGAGTCACCACACACAACTTACTTTTTAGGCCTTGGGTCTTCCCTGTTCTCGAGGCTGACCCCGTGTTCGCCTCACTCCCTTGGGCCCCATTTGGGGGGCCACGTGATTTGAAAGGTAAACTGGCTGGCTCTGGGTGTGAAAAGCCTGGCTGGCCTGGCCCGGGGTGAGGCCTCCTCTCTGCTCCCCCCGACACTGACCGCTGACTGCTGTCTCACTAGCATAACCAGTCTCCTTTCTTGTAGTTAACTGGGGTGTGTGGGTGTGCGGGTGAACCTGCGGGCATGTCGGGCAGCACAGGGTGCGCAGGTCAGAGGGGAGCACTCTGCGGCTGTCCTTCTTCTTCCCTCATGTGGGTTCTGGGGCTCAAGCTCTGGTCCTTGGGCTCAGTGGCCAGAGGCTTCTCACTGCTCTCCTCTGCCCTTTTCTCGTCCTTCCCCTTCAGCCTTTTTGGCAGTGTGACCCTGGGGCACTCGGGAACCCTGGATGGGCGCTGAGAGCAGGGTGTTAGCTGAGGTGCATTCACAGCGCTTCCGGGCTCCGTGACTCGCTGGGCTCAGTCATCCTCATGTCAGGGAAGGGCATGCTGGCGAGGTTTGGGCTGGCCTTAAAGGGGACAGAGTGGTAAGTGGGGGGGGTTGGGGGAGGGGATGGAGCTGTGAGGCTGGTTTTAGTCTTCTAGTCTCTCACAAGCCTGATTACAGCTGCAGGTCCGTTACTCTGCAGTGTGCTGGGAATAACCCGCCTTGAAGGCCGAGAACTGAGAGGGTGATGAATCAGGTTCGTCGTCCTGAGTGAGAAGAGGGGCGCAGGCAAGCCAGGGAGAACATGAGTCGTCAAGTGTGCGGCTGAGCTCTGGGGAGGGACGGGCTTCCAGGCCGCAACAGCTCACCAGGTGTCTCCGGCCTTTGTGTTTATATTATGATGTTGATATTAACATCAACGTGAGATCTCGGGGGTAAGCGAGAAAGACACCTGTTAACCGTGTGTGTTGAGTGTGTGTGTGAGTGTGTGTGCATGTGTGCGTGTGGGAGTGTGTGTGCGAGGTGGATTAAGGGTCAGTTGTACTGTCAGCTGTCAGGGTGACACAGTTGCAGTCATCTGGGAAAAAGCCCTCAGTTCAGGAAGCGCTCCCATCGGCCTGGCCCGAAGTTTCTTGACTAATGACTGGGGGCCGCCCACTGTGTGCCAGCCCTGGCAGGTTTCCCGAGTGGCGGAGTGAGAAGACCACAGTGAACAAGCGGTAAGCAGCGCCTCCACAGCCTTCCTCCAGCGACTGCTGTGGCTGGGACACGCCAAACAGACCCTTGTTTCCAAGTTGCTTCAGTTGTGGCGTTTATCACAGCAAAGAAAGCAAACTAGAACACCAGCCAAAGACATCCACAATAACCTCTGTGGAGGCGGGAGACACTGTGAAAGCACGTCTGCCTGTGGTCCCTACAGCCTCCGTCTTTCTTTTTGAGCTTTGGAAAATGTTACGGCCTGGTAACGGCAAGAACCACTCTGGTCAGTTTCCAGAGCTGCCTTGGTCCAGTGGCTGACTACTTCCCTCTTAGCAGAGACTACAGAGCTGCTGCTGGGGCCATCGGGACTCAACAGATGGAAAGCGTCCTCTCCGATCTTTGACTGGGTCTTGTATTTTTTGGGCTACACTCTGTGTGAGATGCTGGGTGCTGAAATCAGGGCCTTGGCACTCCAGGCAAGCACTGGGTCACTTTGCTGCAGCCCCAGCCCCTCTAAGGGACTTAAAAAAAGACAATGAACCTTAGCCCTGGCAGTCCTGGACTCGCTCTGTAGACCAGGCTGGCCTTGAACTCACAGAGATCCGCCTGCCTCTGCCTCCATGAGTGCTTGGCCTAAAGGCCTGTGCTACTGCGCCAACTCCACAATGAATTTTAATAGGAAGAACTCCTGAGTCAGACTAACTTGGTTCCTGCTGCCCTGATTGGCTTTAGGCTTCCCATCTAGAAAATGTCATGTTTAGTACCAACGCAGTCATTCTGCTGGCCAAAGTTGACCAGAAGGTGTGTTAGTTAGCCAATATAACATTTAAGGAAGGCTGTATCAATGTTTAAAAATTATTATAAGATGGTGAACACAGAAGCCCAGCTTCCCAATTGAAAACTCAGTGACAACAGTGAGTCCATGTTTCCACCTGGAGTAATTGACGAGGCTAAAGAAGGCTGCCGTAGCTAAGACATGCAGTCTGTTATCCTCAAGCCCTTATAGTGTCTACCTGGCCACAGGGCAGGCATTTCAATTTGTGACTCTTTGGACAGCAGGAACAGGTTATGTCTGGTACAGAACATGTGATTAATTACCACACCAGTGGCCCCCCCGCCCCGTACCTTTTTTGTTCCTCTTATCACGGCATAATTAGAAATCCAAGTTCACTTTGCTGTTTTACTTTGCCGTTGTTTGTGGCAGTATCATGAACAATCGTACCTCAGCCTCACGAGAGCTGGCATCACAGGTGTGAGCCACCATGCCTGGCTTTGTGGAAGTTCTTAGGTAGATGACAGTCCTTTTTGTCGCTCAGGACAGATAGGTCGTGCTGTGAAAATAAACTCTGTATCTTGATGGCTTAAATGGCAAAGGTTTATTTCTTGCTTACAGAAACCTGCACACAGAGCAAACATATTCTTGCATTTTCACATGCAGAGACAGACATGAGCACACAGGCATATACAGAACATAAACTCATGCAAAAATGTAATTAGACACGGGCCATCTTAAACTGCCCAACTGCCTTTTTTGGGGGACTTAGGATTCAAAAAGGACTACGAGAATATCCATGTTCAGCCAAGGAAATACCCACACTACAAAAGGAACCTGAAAGCTTAAAAAAAAAAAAAAAAAGGCTGAAGCTTGTGTTATAGTAAATTCCATGCAAAACTCAAATAAAATACAAACACGCTGTGCCTGCCGTCTGTCATCTCTTTGTCCCGGCGAGGCAGTGTCTACCTCTGCTGTCTAGCTCAGGAGGGAGATGGAGCCCAGCCGCCCAATATGCAGAGAGACTGAGGAAGTGGGACTGGGCCGGAGAGGGGGGCCAACAGGCTGGAATCCTCTTCCCCCAGGGGGAGCTGCAGGTGGACAGGAAGGGCAGGCCCAGGTCAGATCCAACCCTCTCCTGCCCACTGACTAGCCCTCTCCTGCCTGCCTGCTTACTCTTCTGCTGTCCCTCCACCAAAGCTACCACGCTGGGTCTAGCTCAGAGCATTCCCTTATTACCTCGGTATAGCTGTTGGTCCATCTATAGTCAGAGGCGACGCCCCCACCCCCGCCTCATCCCTCCGGGCTCCTGCAGATCCCCTAGGGCAGTGGTTGCCAACCTTCCTTCCGCTGCAGCCCTTTAACACATCTCCTCATGCTGTGGTGAGCCCCAGCCATAAGATTACTTGTTTTTATCTCCTAATGGTTACTTTACTCCTGTTAGGAATTGTAATGTAAATATACGTTTTCCTTTTTTTTGTTTTTTTTTTCCCAGATAGGGTTTCTCTGTGTAGCCCTGGCTGTTCTGGACTCACTTTGTAGACCAGGCTGCTCACGCAAACCGCCTGCTTCTGCCTCCTGAGTGCTGAGATCAAAGGTGTGTGCCACCACACCCAACAACCTGTATTTTCTAGTGGTCTTAGGTGACCCTGCCCCACAGGTTGCCAACTGCTGCTCTGGCCAACACAGCACTGGGCAGGGACATTCTGAGCCACGTCTCTGCTCCCCTGGACGTTCCCCTTCCTCACACTCCTTCCAGGCTAGTGCTGCGCCAGGTGAGGGCCTCCAGCTCCCAACAGCACACTTACCAGTCCTCGCCGTCCAGGCCCTGCTTACCTCACTCCTTTCCAGGACTGAGCAGAAGCGAGGGTCTGGAGACCAGGCTCTGCAGCGTTTTGCTGTGTGCCAGCCCTTAGGAAGCCTCTACTTCCCAGGACCTCCTTTTCCTTGGTGTAGGGCATTGGCCGTTCACAACAAAACTGCTAAGCGGTGACTCCCAGAACAACCTTCAACCGTGTCTCAGAGGCTCGACAGAGACACTTAGGGGCATTCAGCTACTATCTGCTCCACTTTGGTTAGTCCCTGCTCATTCCAATGGCTGCCATTTCTCAACCAACCCCACCTCATCCCCTCTTCTCAGGAAGGTTACCTGGTGGGCCACAGGGGTGGAGCAAAGAGATCCAGGCAGGGTTCGGGGGCACGGATGGGGTCAGGCGGGGAGCCTGGGATGAGTCTTTCAGACCCACAAGGGCCTCAGCCGCCTCTCTCTGCAGCTGCCGCTCTGAGGGGCCAGATGTCCAGGCCAGGCAAGAAGCTCCAGGGGCCTGCAAAGGAAAGGGAGAGGAGCAGGCTGGGAACCCCCACTTCTGTCTGCCCTGCAATGCCTCCCTCAGTCCCCTGCTTTTCCCTTCTACACATTCAACCTCCACCCAGGCTCTTGGGCGCCACTTCTTTCCCAAGACCTGTGGCTGTCGCAGAAGAGAGTCTGGTGCGCCACAGGACTGGAGTATCAAAGTTGAACATCTAGAGAAAAAGAGACACATGGGAAGCGGTGGGCATTCTGACCTGGGAGCCGGAGATCCTGGCTGGCCACCGGACTTTGTGCTAAGTCTTGTTCACTATCTTGGCTGCTTTGCTTTCTATAAAATAAAAATCTCTGCAAGCTTTTCCCTCCCAGGCTACTATGAAGATTACAGGGAATCAATCGCTGGTGTCAGTTTTTCAAATCAGATATCCACTGGGCCAGGGATTGCTGGCTGCTTCACAAGCCTGCTTTCCCTAGCCTGGCTGCCGGTTCCCAAGGAATTCCACCTCTAAGAAGCTTGCTCTCATGGCGGCTGGGCCTTACCACCATGGCCTTCGTGTACCAGACAACGCCATCCTATTTTAGCTGTCTTAGATGAGTGAGCAGCCACTGTGTTCAAGGTCAGGGCCTGTGCTGGGTGTTGTTGGTTTTTCTAACAGCCTGAGCTGAGCAGCACCTCATCATATCATTACTGATACTGGAAACAGGCAAGGCTTTAAATACTCAAAGCCTCCATGCTAGGAGACTGGCGGTACAGGCGGGCTCTGCCTGCTGTCAGTCTGCAACTATCCTCCTGTTTTCCACATCAGAATCCTAAGCCCTAACCTCCTGGTTCCACCTCAAGTGCTGGGATTACAAGTGTGCAACCACACCTAGCCTGAAAGTTTTTCTTCCACGTTAGCTGTCATGATTGCAGCACAAAGACAAACTCAGACTCAACACATATCGTCTTGTGCTCCTACTCACGTGTGAGGCAGGCTAGGGGGTCCTTGGGGCTCTCCAGAAAGTGGAGCTGTCAGTACCGAGCGAGAGCCCGGGCAGCTTGGGAGGGTCCCGTGAGTGGGCAGCCGGAGAGAGGTGCCAGGGTCAAAGCCTAAGGAGGGCAAGAGAACACAGGACGCACAGAGCCCAGAGGCCATGACTGCTCCCTCTACCCACTTGTGTGCCCTTTCTCGCCTTTTCTAGTACAGCGACAGCCTAGCATTCAAGTGTCTGCTGAAAACAAGGTGGGTAATTTCTTACCAGGGAAAGGGTGTAGAGGGACAGCAGGTTCTTGGCACAGCAAGCGGCACACCACTGGAGGTGGCACTGACAGACCTGGGGGCAGCCAGTGTCCAGGGCCCCAGGGCCCAGGAGGCACCGGAGTCCAGGGCAAAGGCAAGGCTTCCGGGGGGTGGCTGAGCAGCAGAGGCCCATAGTTCTCCTGCAAGGGTAGAGGCCAAGCCTGGAGAGCAAGCATGCTCCAGGATGAGGGTGCAACAGAAGCTGCGGGCGGCTCTTATGTCCCACCTTCTGTCACCCACAGGTCAGAGCCTCAGTGAAGAGCACACCACAACTCACAGAGCAAGCAGTCTGGGCGGGCTGAGGCTAGGAGCCATCCCCTCAGGCCCCACATCTCCTTACCTTCCCCGGGGGGGTCAGTACCAGCGGGACTGCTCCATGGGGACTCTGAGACTGGGGTGCCATGTTCTCCTTTCCAGCTGTGAGGAACCAGGGAGAGATCCAGCAACCCCCTTTTCCTGACCTCTGGCCTACCCGAACTTCAGCTAAGCTCTCATCTCCCTTTAATTTCTTTATTCTTTTTTTCATGAGGCCCAGGCTGGCTTTGAATCCCTGATTCTCCTGCCCAGCCTGCCTCCTCCTCTAGACAAGAGGTCTGGCTTGGTTGGCCCAGGCTGGCTTCCGGATCACCTTACCCCAGTGCAGGGATTACAGGCATGCTCACCATGTCCCACCCCCCTATTTTCCTTCCTTAAAACGCTTTATTACTGTGTCTGGGTGCCGCGGTAGCATGTGGAGGCCATCGTGGGGAGCCAGCTCTCTCTTTACCTTTGTGCAGGCTGTGAGGCCCGAGCTCAGGGCACCAGGTTTGTGCAGAAATACCTTTGCCCGGAGCCACCGCACTGCCGCCCCACCACGCCCCGTTTTCTGTCTTTAGTTGTCCCTGCTCTCCTACCCACACTTCAAAATAAAATTTTCTTTGTTCTTACGTGCGTGAGTGTTTGGCCTGCACGCATGTCTGTGTAGCCCACTTGTGCAGTGCCTGCTGAGGGTACAAGGGGCAGCTGTGGAACTGGAGTGGCACATGCTGTGAGCTGGCACCTGTTGCCTGCAGGCCCCTCTCTGCAGCCCATGGAGCACACTTGAGAGCTGCCGAGGTGAGGCTCACAGAGACTAAGCTCCGTGCCGGGGCCACACACACTGAGTTTCAGGACGGGGATGCTTGTCCTTATATTTACTACATCCTGTCCCGCTGCCAGGCACACACACTCACAAGGGACCCCTGGCCGGATGGCTCCCTTCTTGACTTGGAGGGGAGCTTTCAGAGGGGCGGCCCCTTTCATCAGACCCTGCGCCAGGTGCCTTTTCAGCTGTGCCTCCTGCTGCCTACGCAGGGCCACTTGCGCAGCCATGACTCTCCGACGTTCCCTGGGGGGAGGGAAGCAAGTCAAGCGGCACCCTTCTGGAGAAGCCCCGCCCTGTCCCGAGCCTTATACTCACAGGATGAGAACACACTTGTGACACTCGCAAGCCTGGAAGAGGCAGAGGCGCTTGTGGCCCTTGAGATGGGCCGTGACTCCATGGTTGCGACAGCGGGCACAGGTCGGAGAGCGGCTGACAGGCCTCCTGGGAATAAGCTCTGTGCTCTGGGGCACTCTCGTCTCATCCACTGGAGGCGAGTCAGCAGAGCAGTGGTGAAGAGCAGGCGTTTCGCTGGGGTCCATGGATCTGAGGGCAGAGTGGTAGGTTAGGGTAGTTACATGGGCTCCGCCCTACCCAGCCCCTCTGCTTTTGGGAAGACACAGCTGTGGCCATCCATCTTGCCCCTCTCAAGATCCAGCTTCTACCCGGGCTTCCCTGCAAGCTTGCTCAGAAACTACGCTTTTCTTTCTTCTGTATCCATTCAATACAAACATCCTTCACTTTTGCTCTTTGGCAGGCTTTGCCATGCTGAATGACAGCTTCAGGCACAGGCACTCGCGCGCACACACGCACCCTCCCAGGCCCTTCATGCTTTACCCTCTATTCTACCAAGCAGGGCTTTCAGGCACCCTCTTCAACTGTCATCAGACCCTTCGCATTCACCCAGTCCTTAAGAACATTTTTATGTGGTCCCTCAGTCCTAAGACCCACACGCGCAATCAGCTCAGCCTGCTCCCTGTATGCCACTGCTGTGATGCTGGACGTGTCTCAGCAGTGTCTGTGGGTGCCCGTGTGTATGTGGAGCCCAGAGGCTGACATCAGATAGACTTCCTCCACTGCTCTCCGCTTTGATTTTAATTCCGGACAGGGTCATCTTGTTGAACCTGAGGCTCACGGCTTTAGCTAGACTGGCTGGCCAATGAGCTTAAGAGATCCTCCTCCCTCAGCTCCCCACTCCTAGTGGTGGAGGTGCAGGCACATGTCACTGTGCCCAGCATTTACCGTGGGGATCACGAATGTGCTCAAAGCGCTTTATCAACGGAGTTTTCTCCCCAGCCCCCTTAATTTTTAAATTAACTAATTATTAATTTGGAGCTAAGATCTTACTGTGTGTGTATCCCTGGCTGGCCTGGAATGCTGTGTGTAGACCTGGTGGGACTCAAACTCACAGAGATCCATCTGCCTCTGCTTCCAGAGTGCTGGGGTTGAAGGTGTCTCACCAAGCCCAGCTTTTGTTTTTGTACTCTCTAGTAGCAATATTATTGCCAAGAGCGTCCCTATCCCATTTTCCCTAGAGGGCATTTGCTTTCAAAAAATGAGCATTGAACCTAAACCCTTACAAATACATGCTGGCCAAGTGGTTTTCACTTATTGTTTTTTTTTTTTTTTTTTTTTTTTTTTTGGAGACAAGGTCTTGGTAAGTGGTCCAGGCTGGCCTTGAACTTGTTATCTTCCTTCCTCAGCCTCCTGGTAACTGAAATTACATTACTGGCCTGTCTTGTACCACCTGTTCACCAGATATTTTTCTTGGACTCCATTAGTTTAACAAACATTTACTGAAGCAGGATGCAGGCTCCCATCTGTCATTCTGGCGGTAGGGAATCTAAGGCAGGGGTATTTTTCTGAGTTTCAGGTCAGTCTTTTTGTTTGTTTTGCTTTTTCTTCAAAACTGGGCTTCTCTGTGTAGCCTGGGCTGTCCTGGACTGGCTTTGTAGACCAAGCTGACCTCAAACTCACAGAGATCCTCCTGTCTCTGCCTCCCCATGTGTGCTGGGGTTACAGGCGTTACAGCCACCCCATGCTTGGCTCCAACTCACTATTTTAGAAAAAACAAAAACTGAGTGGGTGTGGTGCAATGCCTGTAATTACAGGTTTTGGGGTAGAGGGAGGAGGGTCAGCAGCTCAAGGTCATCTGCTGCTAGGAGTTGAAGATTGCCCAGGACTACTCGAAACCCTGTCTTTAAGAAAGAAAACAAAACAAAACCCCAAACCAAAACCAAGCCGCTTCCCAAATGACTACTGAGTCCCTGCTGTTCGAGGTCCTGATGTAGGCCCAAGGTGTCCTCTGGACACCGCTTTCTTTCCTGTACCCAACTGCATGGGCACAGGAAACCCATGCAGTCACCGCTGCACGCGGCGCCCAGCAGTTGATGGCATGCGCTGTCCCTTCCCGTGCAACCATTCCTTGGGTGCTCCCCCTTCCAGCACCCATCCATCACCCCCAAACGCTGGGCCTGCGGCCCCTCCCGCTGCAGGGCCCCCGGGAGGGGGCTGGGCACGAGGAGCGCGCTCAGGAGGTGGGGGTGGGGTGGGGAGAGCCGCGCAGCGCGAGGGAGCAGCCAGGGGAGGCCATGGCGGGCCCCAGCTCAGCAGACGAGGAGCAGGGAGGGGAGGGATCACGTTCACGCCGCCCGCCGGTGGTTACCGCAGCCTCGAGCCGAGTCACAGTCAGCCGGGGGAAGGCCCAGGGGAAAGGGCGACAAAGCGGCGAAGAGGAACGGCCGGCTCGAGCTGCTTTTCCCGCTCCTCCGCGCCGGGGCCAATGAGCTTCCGGCACGGCGCTCCGGCCGCGCGGCGCAGCCAATCGGGTTCCAGCTCCTCCGCCGACGGCCCGCCCCTTCCTTTCTGCCCGCTCTCCACGGCAACAATCGCGGCAGCCAATGGCGCGTCGAGTTGAGCCGCACGCACGTCGCGTCTGTCCTTACCCGGGCCGACTGTTCTTCGGCCCGGAGGCCGGTAGCCAATGGGGCGTCGAGGAGCGTCGGCCAGAGCGAGGCTGGCCCCGCCCCCGCGCCCGGCGCCGAACCTCAGGCGTTGGCTCGCACCCACTGCGCTTGCGCAGCCTCGCCCGCCGGGTTGGCCGCGCTTGCTCTCCCTCCCTGGCTGCGGTTCCTTGGGGCTGTCGGCCCGCCTGTCGCCTGGCTCACGGCGTCCAGTGTGTGGCCACTCCAGGCTGACCGAGGCGGCGGAAGCGATCTCCGGCTGGACGGCGCTGCAGAGGATGCGTGCCGAAGCGGGAAGGTGCTCGGGGCCCGCCCGGCGTTGGGCTTCCCGACGGCGGGCTGGAGAGGCTGGGCCCTTCGCGGGGAGCCCGGGAGACGGCACTCGGCAGCCGTTGGCCTTCTGCGGGCCTGGGGAACGCAGGGGCGGGCGCTGCGAGTGGCCCCCGGCCAGCGGGCACCCTGGGCGACAGCCTTGGCCCCCCAGGGTGCTAACCCTTCCCCACTCGTGACCACCGAGCCCCCTCCAGCCCCCTGCCCCCCAGTCCCGGCCGTCCCAAGGCACCGTCCTGAGGGCAAGCGCCCTTCTTCTGAGTCCATGTGTCCTCTCCAGCAGTGTTCTGTCAACACGCCCATGTTGTCCGTGCGGTACTTGCTGTTTAGTGGCCGAGCCATACTGTGCGCATGTACATCTGTAAACGTTTCTTTTACATTTTATATGCATTGGAGATTTGCCGGTCTGTTTGTGTCTGCGCGGAGCTGGACAGTCGTGAGCTGCCGTGTGGGAAATGAACCCGGGTCCCCCGGAAAAGCGGTCGCTGCTCCTGACCGCTGAGCCACCTCTCCAACTCTTTTCTTTTTGTTGTTTTGCGGTAGGGTCGCTGGCCTCGAACTCAGAGCCCCGCCTGCCCCTGTCTCCCGAATGCTGGCATGAAAGGTGTGCCCTACCACCTCCTGGCTGCACTGGCGCATCTAGTCAGCCGCCCCTGTGGTGTGGCATTGGGCGGTGTGCCTCCCTTAGTCTCAGGAGGGGTGGTCCTCTTACCCAGACCCGCTGTCAGAACAAATGAGGCAGCCTCAGCTTTGGGAGTGGAGAGATTTTCTTCGTACTTAGCCAGGCCGTCCCAGAAGTGGGTATTTATAAGTCTGATTTGACTGTTGTCAGACTTCTCCCTGCAGTAGGCTTGGGACACTGACGGTTCCCGCAGTCACTCGGTAAACAGCAGCTTACAGAATTACACAAGTGTCTTTATGGCCACACTTGCTCTTTTCCAGCTTTCTGATTGCTGTCAGCCCAAGAGTAGCAGGAGGATACATTTTTGCAAGATAATTGCATTTCCCAGGTGACAGTACCAGCACCTGCTCAGGTGCCTGCTAGCCTTTCTATCTTTACTCTCCTGGGGACAGTTTCCTCATAGGCTTAGCTCAGGCTGCTTTCTTTCTCTTGCTGATTTGAAGGCGGTCCTTACCCATTTTCTCGTGCTAATTTGCTTTGTATAGTTTATATGCCTTGTGCAGTTTCTTATTGTTTTTGCTTGTGTTTGACACAGGGTTTCATGTAGGTTAGGCTAGCCTTGAACTTGTTATGTAGTTCAAACCACCATGGTTTATGAACATGCAATTGGCTTTGGTGTGATCCTGTGTCTTGATCATATTCCGTTCCTTGTAGATTTTATACGCATCCTGTATGTGAGCGATATGCAGCATGGCTGTTCTGGTTCAGTTCTAGGTCCTTTTCTGTTTCCGTAGTAAACAGAAGGGGTTTAGGAATGCATTGATTGTGCCTGCTCTCTCACAGGCTGTTCGTGCTGGGGATGGGTGTCATGAAATGAGCGTGCTTGCTTGGCCTGGCAGTCCTGAAGCTGGTATGCCTCCTGTGTGCTGGGACTACAGGCGTGCGGGTGGGGTCCGGCATGCTTGCTTCACATGGACGCTCCAACGCTCCCTTTGCTGTTCTGCTGTCCCGGCTGGAGAACGGCCTAGTGACAGCTGGGTCCTGGGATCAGCACCATGGCAGAGGGAGGGCCTAGGCAGGAAGTGAGAGGCCTGCTTTGAAAAGCAGACAGCGCGGGCCTGACCACAGAGATGGGAAAGCTGCGTCACTCCAGCTTACCCCAGCAACTGACACCCTCAATCTTCTTTAGAAACGGTGACCGGTAGGCAAGCGGACAGAGAATTCGGGGACTGACAAGAAGCAAACTTGAGATTCCGTCTGTCTGCCTTTGACTCCACACTGATCTGTCACATCCAGGAGCCTGACACAGAGCCATGCGACCCCAGGATCTGAGATGTCTGAAGCTGCTCTGCCTCCTAGAAGCCATCTCTTTATTGCCTTGTATGTCCCATGGGGCTGTGTGCTGTAAGGCCTCAGCATGTGGTAGGCCGGACCCATGTGCTGGTGGAAGGTGGCCGGGTGTCCAGTCCCCTCGGGGACCCATGTGCTGGTCATGTGCTGGTGGAAGGCGGGCTGGATACCCAGTCCCCTCGGGACAGGCTTTCTGTGCGTTGACGTTAAGGTGGTGTGGAAAGCAGGGTGTGATGGGTCGCAACGAACCAACCAACCACAAACGAGAAAGGACGGTGGTTAGGGGCGGCGGATGACTGGAAGACTGCTCTCTCTGTAGGCACTGAAGCTCTTCTGTGCTATGAGGCGACAGCGTCAGCCTTCAGGGCGGTGACCTTGCATAACTGGAAGTGGCTTCTGCTGAGGAGCATGGTGTGTAAGCTGAGAGAGGGCTGCGAGGAGACGGTGGTGTACATCGAGACCGGTGAGGCCCTCCCTCTGCTCACTCTTGCACTCCGCCTCCTTCCAAGCTGTGCTCCCGACACCTGGGACTAGGGGTACACACACAGGCATCTGAGCTGATAATGAAGGCACAGCACTCATCATCGTCAAGAGTAACATTGCCACATTCACAAAACAGAAAGGCGTGCTTATGAAACACCTTGCGTCCGTCCAAGGCGCACAAAGTCTAAAGAAACACAGCTGCTTTGGAGCAGCTGCTTTGGGGAGGTTAAGGAGCAGAAGTGAGGAGTAGGGATTACTGGCAAGAATGGGGTAGGGCTCAATGATTGTAATGCTCTAGAGTGGAAGTGGATCGGGGGCCCCGGAGGAGGGGGCAGCCTGGGGGAGAGGGAAGGATGAAGACAGACAGGAACAAGAGCAGCAGAGGGCGTCCCAGGAGGATTAGAAGACACAGGTGAAGAGCCCGACTTCTCAGCCCACACCAGCACAGTGGGTGACACAGGAAGAGGCAAAGCTGGTCTCGGGACTGGGAGGGTGCAGGGAATATAGGGGTCAGGCAGGGCCCAGCCTGAGTGGGTCTGGGCCACTGACAGTGCCTCTCTGATCCTCTGCTCTTCAGGGGCCAGTAGGGGAATTTTGAGTTTTAAAGGCTGCACCACGGCCTTGTCGCATCCTCCACAAGTCTCCTATCTCGTGGCTCCACCCGGAGTGTCCATTGCCTCCTACAGCCACATCTGCCGGTCCTACCTCTGCAACAATCTAACCAACTTAGAGCCTTTTGTGAGATTCAAGGCTAGCCAAACTAAGTCCATAGCACTGTCTTCCAAAAAGTGTCCAACCTGCTTGGGCAAACACGACGCGGACTGTCTTCCGAGCTTCGTCACCACTGAGCCTTGCCCCTACGTCGCTTCTTCCTGTTTCAGTTCCACCTTAACATTCCAGGCAGGTGAGTGCACTGTGTGGGACCCAGGGTCTGTGCGCTTGTGAGAGGTGGGATGGTGGGTACAGGAGGGTCACATGAATTCCAGGCCAGACCAGGTAACGTTCCTGGCATCCAGCTCTCTGGTGGGAGAGCAGGTGTCCTGGCTCATGAGGGGCCTCTGGGAAGGAAGGCAGCCTCTGGAGTCTTGAAGATATCCCTCATTCTTCTCTTTCTTCCTTGTAGGGAATCTCAATACCACCTTCCTCATCATGGGCTGTGCTCGTGACTCAGGGAAGATTTTAGCAGATTTTCAGCGCATTGGGAGCATCAAAGTGACAGAGGTCGTCAACATCATAGAAAAGTCGCAGACGGCCAGTGCAGGGCACTGTACTCGAGGCCCTTCTTGGAGTGTCCTTATGTGTCCTCTGTTTATTTTCAGAGACTGACCAACCAGCAGGACTGGAAAAATGTCAGACCCCATGCATAATCAAATAAAACCTCAGAATTATCCTTCTACTTTGTCTGTGGTCTGTGAGAATGTGGCGGGGCCCAGCATGTACAGGGAGGGGGCCACAGGAGCCAAAGAGGCTGAGAAAGTGGGGTGCCTAGATTACTGCTGCTTTCTGTTCAGAAACCAATACTAAGGGGATGAGTTTTGGTGAGGAGGAAAGCAGTTTCAGAGCGGGCAGCATGGAAGGAGGAAGGTGTCATCATCCTCAGAGCTCCATCTTGTGGAACTCAGGTCTAGAGAGATGCTTTGTTAGAGAAAGGCTGTCCAGGAAGGCTGTTGGTTGAAGGGAGTCTTTGTCATCCGTCCCTTCTTCTCTGGCTGGAAAACTACAACTCTGACCAGATATCTTCCTCCCTCCCTTCTTTTCTTTCTCTTTTTATTTCTTCCCCTCTCCTGCTTTCCTCTGGCTCTTGTTCTTGCTCCACCCCTAATCCCCTTTCCTTCTTCTCCCCTCTCTAGAGTATGTAAGTGAGATGGTCTACCTCCTGGTTCCTGTAGGTTTTTAGATAGACATGTTTTCTTCAAGAGGAATCTCACAGCATTTATGTACTTTGTACTATGCCCAGGACTAAATAATAATAGCAATAATAAGGCAGAGGTGGGGATGACGTGGACGTGCACACACTGCTGTGACTTGAAGGAAACTACATGTTGTGGATTGTGTACCCATAAAGAAATCACTTATAAGTTGACATCTTAGGTGTCTTTCTTAGAGTTTAGAATGCTGGGCAAAGTGAGTGAAAATGGCCTTGAAAAAGGGCACCTGGGGAAGAAGTAAAGCAAAATCTGCCAAAGAAGCTCCCAAAGGGGTGCTCCCTTCTGGGGTAGTTCGGGGGTGAAGGGAACATGAAGGGCATTTTCTGAGAAGGGTAGCGTGGTTTGGATATGCAGTGTCCCCCACAGGCTCATGTGGTGAATACTTGATCCTTGTTTGACACTAATCTGTGTGAAATATGGTGCTATTTCAGCAGGTTGTGCTGACTTCAGGAAGCAGGGTCTGGGTGGGTCCCCGAGGGCCTTTTGTCCCTGGCACCAGCACCTTTTTGTTTCCTGTCTTCCGTAGGTGAGATGCTCTGCCACTTGATGGCCCTGCTGCTACGATGACCTGCTCATGCAGGGCAGGCCAAGAGGCCATGGATCGTTCCCTCCAAAACCGTGAGCAAAACAGTCTTTCCTCCCTGAAGTGACTTCTGTCGGATGCTCTCGGGACAGAGAGGACCAGTATAACCAATACAAAGGCACGCCTGACAGCTTGTCCTTGAGGGTGGCTAAGGAGGCACTCCCAGTGGCAGTGGAAGAGAGCTGGGATGGCAGGAGGAAGTAAGAATAGAAGTCAACATATCATCCTGCCCTCCACTCCAGGGTTTTCTTTCATCGTGTCTTTGATGGCAATTTATAAAAAAAAAAAAAAAAGATATGTAGAGGAAAAATTCTCTAGACAGTTGTATTTGTGAACACCCTTCCTTTCTTCCTCCCTTCCTCCCTCCCTCCCTTCCTTCCTTCCTGTTTTTCAGTCTTTAAACTAGACAACTTATCAATAGTAAAAGTCTTTGCAGCTGTGACTTACATGAGGGCAGTGTGGGAGCCAGCAGAGGCTCTTGGCAGGGGTGCCACCACCCTGGGACTGTTGTGAGCTTTTGGCCAACACCGGCAAGCACAGCATAAATAACACTGGTTGGCAGGCAGAGGCAAAGAGTGGAGTAGGACAGCCACTTGAGAAAGCCATCAGGGACACAGGACACATGGGACCATGGAGGCACACACATACACACACACACACACACACACACACACACACACACACACACACACGTGGAGTGTGTGAGGGGGATAACATAAGACATGCCTGACATGCTAGGTTGACACACTGAGAAACAGGGCTGGAATTCTGGGCGGCTCCAGAGACCACCCAGGAAGCTTCCTCCTTCACCACCCAGGTGGAAGTGTCTCCCTGGGTTTGTAGGCAAGACCCACTGAGGCAGGACTGGGTAGCAGTCCACAGAGCCAAGCGGGGGACCTGGTGATAGCATCTGCAGACTCGAAGGCTGGCCTGTGCTTCAGGGTTGTTGTAGATGTGGCTGTCCACAGCAGCTGTATCCATTCCCCGAGTCTTGTGCAGTGGGGCTTGCCATCATGCTCAGGGTGCCCACCCAGGGACGGGGTCTTGAAGCAGCACTCAGCGCAGGCAGGGCTGGTGCTAGTCTTTGCCCAGGTCACCTTCACACCAGAATGGTAAAGCACACCATTTTGGTGCATTGAGGACACCTGTCGGGCTCCACAGTGAACATGGTGACACTAGAGACTGTATGCACGTGTGTGTGTGTGTGTGTGTGTGTGTGTGTGTGTGTGTGTGTGTGAACAGCTGGCCTCTCCTTCCTCTGGACCACTGGGATCATCTAAAGTGGGATGATCTCAGTCAGAGGCTTCTCAGGCCTGGGAACTGGCACTGACGTGCATGCCCTTGGGTCCATAGTGTGGCAAAGCAGGGCTTGTGGCAGAAGGGCTCCCCATCATACTCAGTGTGGTCCCCAGGATGTCGGTGTCCTATTGCAGTGCGTACACTAGAGACAGAACTTGTGCCAGCCCTTGCCCATGGAGCTCACCTTCTTGGCAGAGTACACAGCCTTGACACTCTTGGGGCACTGGATGCCGTGCTCAGTGGGTCCAAACAGCCATCCCCTCTACCTGCCCTGGCCTCTGAGCCCATGAACGTTTTCTTATGCTTCTTAACTGATAGCACTATTTAGCCATACCTCATAATGACCAAACCAGGCCTTACTCCCCCCAAAGTCACCAGCACTAGTGAACCCCCCACCCCCAGAGTCACCAGGATCTAGGCCATAGGTCACCAATTACAGGAAGAAGGTAATAAAGTTCCCTTCCCAAGGAAGAGCCTAGAGGTAACCACAACAATGGGAAGGCATCTTGTCTCAGGGTGGGGCACTGTGCTGGGCAGTCCACCAACCCAGTAGTAGAACTTTCATGGCACTGAAATACCCAACTTTTCTGAGGTCTGTAGATAGCTTGTTCAATGTTAGTTAGCCACAATCACCTTGTAACAAGCTTGCCCTTTCTGAATGCCACTAAATTGTGTAACTGTTAAGCTGTAATTTCCCAAACCTCGCTATAAACTAACAAAACCCTCCTTCCCCTGAGCTCAGAGTTCTACATTCAACCTGCTATGTCAGTGAGGGTGTGTGCCTGAGCTCAAGCTTGTAATAAAAAGACCCTACTGGGTTTGCATTGGAATCAGCTCCTAGGTGGTCTTTGGGGTCCATTTGGGCATAACATCTTGGGGGCTCCTCTGGAATCCCCCAAGACATGCCCCCCCAACTCCCAGGAACCCTGAACCTAAAGACCTGTGGGTAAGCATTTTGTCTGTCTCGGTGTTTCTCTAGTTTCTGTTTCAGGCCTCGAGGCAAAATCCGTAATCTGTGTGGTTGGGAACAGTTAGAGTGGATGCACTGGACCACTGTGGGCCACAGCAGGCCTGGAAGATGTTCCAGACAACCTCAGAGGTGCCCCTAAAGTTTTTCTGTGTAGGAGTGGCAGGAGCTGTTGTCTGGCTCTGTGTATGTCTTTCTGGCTGACCGTCTTGTCTGTTGCTGCCTGATTTTTGTAACTGAGACTGACAACATGGGACAGACTCCTTCTAACCCTCTAGACTTAATTCTTGCCCATTTCAGGGAGGTTAAAACCTGAGCTCAAAACCTCTCTGTGAACATCAGGAAGGGCAGGTTAACAAGTTTTTGCAGGTCAGAATGGCCCACTTTCAACATATACTGGCCCCTGGAGGGGACCTTTGATCCTGACATTATCCATGCAGTTGAGAGGATTATCTTTCACTCCCATGGTGGTCACCAGGACCAGGTACCATATATCATGGTTTGGGAAGATCTAATGAATAATCCCCCTCCTTGGGTCAAATTCTTTCCACTCCCAGAGAAGTAGGAAGTGATGGCGGTAGCTGAAAAGAAAATGGTGGCTCAAAACTCTCAAACCCCCCAAACTGAAATCAAGCCTTCAGCTTCACTATATCCTATTTTACAGGGAGGCATGGAGGAAGATTTGATTTTTCTATCCCTCCTTACTAATCCCACCATTCTCCACAGGCGTCAACCTCAGGGAGCTGAGGCAGCCGCATCCCACCCCCAGAGGGACCATGTCCGAGGGTGGAACTGAGACCAGCCCAAAGGACTAGGAGCAGAGGGGAGGCCTCACCAGAGGGTCCAGATTCTACCATTCTGCTCTTGAGGGAGGCTGATGAGCATGCAACCAGCCTCATTAGCACTGGCTCTTTGCCACTAGTGATCTTTAAAATAGGAGGTCTCAGAATGCTCCCTTTTCTGACAACCTCCAAGACCTCATTAGTTTATTAGAAACTGTCTTGTTTACCCTCCAGCCCACTTGGGGTGACTATCAACAGTTATTATAGGTGTTGTTCACCATGGAGGAAAGAGAACTCATCCAGACAGAAGCCAGGAAATTGGTTCCTGGAGCCTCTGGAGTCCCTAACACCAATCAGGCACAAAACGATGCTTATTTCCCCCTGACCAGACCCACTTAGGATTATAACAGCGCTGAAGGTAAGGGGGGCCTTTTGGTCTACCGCCAGGCTCTGTTGGCAGGTCTCAAGGTAGCTGCTCGCAGACTGACCAGTTGACCAAGATATATGATATCAGTCAGGGACCAGATGAGAGGGGGCTGCATTTTTAGAGCAGATCATGGAGGCTTTCTATAAATACACACCACTAGATCCAGAAGCCAGGGGTGATGTAGCTGAGGTGGCTGTGACTTTTGTCAACCACTCCACCCCAGACAATAAGAAAAATCTCCAAAGGGCAGAATGGCTGGGAGAAAAGAGTTTGAGGGATTTAGTTAACTGTGGCAGAGAAAGTAGATAATAGCAGGATAGTGCAGAGGAAAAACAGATGA